CTTACTCCACCTTTAGAAGGTACATATTAAAGAAGTCTTCCAACACCTCTTATTTTTTTTTTTTTTTGCATAAATGAACGCTTTTTTGTTTGTTTTTGGCTTACATATTTTGGAATACAGCACACTCACTATAAAGCTCTGTTGTAAGGCTACCCCCTAAAGTAAGGCTGTTCTACCTTGGCTTGCATTTTCACTTCATTTTGCTTCTTTTCCACATGTCCCCAAAACAAAACAAAAAAACCCACACAGCGCCTTATACAGAAAGGGTAAGCCAGTTCTGGCAGGGAGAGGGAGGGGAAAGAAAGCACATAATATCATAACCATGTCATTAAAATTGCTATCCTAACAAGCTGTGCAACCTGCTTAACAGAAATTGATAAAGAAAATGATCACTTATGGTTGGTTATGTTTCATCTGAAACAGGAGGAGCTTCCACTTTGTCTCAATTAATAAAAACAAACATAAAAACATGAGGAAGTTAGTTCTGTGTAGGTAACACACACTAACAGCCAAGAAGAGGCATTTAGTGCTCAAGGAAACACTGTGTGCCAAACACGGTCTCCTTGTATTGCGCACTCCAGTCTCTTCCCCTCTGCCCACCAGTCAAGAATGCTTGCTTCTAGAAGACTTAAATACTTAATGCTAGCTGGCACAATGCATTCTTCCCTTTTTTTGTTATTTTTCTTTTTCCCTGGAGTGCTCTGTATTACTTTACAGAAAGGCTGTCAGAAACAAGTCAAAAAACTCCCTTTCTCACTACAAAGTTTACAGGAACCCTAACACTGTTGAATGTCACCAGTCCCAACTATCACACAAACAGGGCAAAAATGGCTCTTTAGCAGAGGGCACTTGATTTGCTAGAGGCTTTCTAGGACTCTGGGAGACTGTTAGAGAAAAGCGTTCCTGCATAGCTCAATGAAAAGCAATGTGCAGGCAAATTGTTAATGCAAACAGATGTTGTCTGCTGTGCGCTACAGATGAAACTGCATTTATTGTGGCCTGACAAGTTTTAAAAGCAGCCTCCAACCAACCAGGAGCTGTGGTGCTTTTTGTAGCACAGATGAAACCTTAAATCACTTTTCATACAAGGATCAGAAGCTATAGTTACTACATCACAAAGTTTTAAGTCACATAACACCACAAAGTAGAGTGCTGTATTTCTAAACAGGACCCTGACTCAATTTTGATAGCAATGCAGGCAGACCCTTAAAGTCTACTGTAGGCAAAGCTCTGGTTGGTGAGTCACTACAAAATGGACCCGTTTCCTATTATCTACTGCAAGGGAACTTTGGTAAAATTCAGCAATACTGGTATTTACAGTGATGGGACACTTACACAGAACATTGTGAAGAACGTGGACTAGGCAAGGCTGCTAAAAATCTCCAGTTTGGCTCCTGTCATTTAGTCCAACCAACAGGTCGACTACAGCCTAATGGTTGCTTTGTGGTTTAGGTTTGTGAATTCAGGACAACAGGGAGTACCAACTCTGCCTAAATTGGGCAACTTCACATATTTCTTCCCATTACTGTTACCATCCTTCTGCCCTAGGTGGAAGCCAAGTACTGGAGACAAAAGGGAAGAAAGAGTTTAGGTTTTAGATAGCTGTATTTTGATCACAGTGGGAATGACCATATGATCTAACAGTATCAGTCCCTAAAACTGCGAAACAGTGGCAAATAAACAACAGAACTGAAATGATATTGTGTGCAAAATCAATTTAGACAAACCAACAGATTCTGCTTATGTTGCTTCAGGTTCAGGACCCAAGTTGCACATCAACAGCATTTGTTTATTGGGTTTTTTTAAAAAATTAATTTCAACATAGTTGTCTTGGTATTACTTTCCTGCTCACAAAGCATGCATGCATATTTACAATTAAGAAAGCTGCTTCTGTTAAGGGAACATCTTTATAAAAAAACCCCCTACCTTCTACTCAATCAGGACTATTACCCTGAGATGTTAACCAGCCTCCACAAAACCTGCATTTCAATCCTTCTGAGAACCTGGATACTAAGGTCACATGATTTACAGCAAAGGCAACATATGCAACACGCACTGGAAACACAACAGGTCCTCATCTGCTATGTTACCTCTGATCCAGCTCATTTCATTGACCAGGATTTGTCAGATTTGCGTACCTCAGATATACAAACAGTGCTCCCCTTAAAAGTCAACAGGAAAACAATATGCACAAAGTAAGAAACTTATGAGCTAAGCATAATAATGAAGCAAAAACCCCAAACTAACCAAAATTTCCCCCCAAAAAACTACAGTACTGTTTGGATGCACTATTAGGACACAGTGGAAGATGTGGCAGCATTTTTAAGAAGAAAAAAATAGGGCAAAAGTTCTAAGGAATAAATGCTTAGAAATTACATGGTAAAAAAAGAAAAAGAGGCCAACTTAATATAAAATTTTAAATGTTATTTAATCTTTGAGGTGGTTATCCCACCCAGTTTTTTGAAAACAGCCTGTTTATATTGCAGAGGTAAAAACATACTTGGCTTAACATTCTTACTCATTACAAAAGCCACTTAATGTGAAGCACAATAAAAAAATCTGTAAGAAAAACCTGACATCCTGATTCTAAAAAAAACTCCAAACCAACAAAAACCCCACTCTCAAGACTGCTAGGCAAGTGTCCAGGTAAAAACATAAAAACACTGGGAAAAGATGGCAAGTATTTCAAAGTGAATGTCAGAAGTCTAAGCACAGGTTTCTCTGAGCTGTACTACACTCTGTTTTGCTTGCTAGACTCTGTTGTCACTGCTAAGACAAAATCCTCAAATGAAGCAAAGAATTATCCAACAGATTAAACTCTCAGCTTGAAAGACACTGCAAGGTAGGGTAAGCAAAGTGGCTGGATTTTCATCTGGAAAGAGATGCCCTTAGTCTATTTCAAGATGTGCTTCCCCAGCCTCTTCTCCCTACTTTGCCAACATGTTTAACAAGATGCTGCCAATGACTCCCTCCTGGGAACAGTTTTGTAAAAGCCCAGAAATACCCTAACAAGAATTCCTGCTGACTTTTCGCCGTTTGGAGCTCAAATGGTAAGAGATATTTTACAACATTAAGCAATAAGTGTCCCCAGCAGTTGAGTCTGGTTAGCACAATTCTCAGACACCACTTGCAATGGTTGGGAGTGCCATGACTAAGCCACACAGTTCTGTCAACTGTAGCTGGAATATAATGTTTGACAATATAAGGGAAACTGTCACTGAGGAGACAGCCACTAACACTTACAGAATGCACATTCAGGAAATGAGGAGCAGACTGTTGTACTACAGTAGGTTTGGACCCAGCAGACTGCTGAAATTTATGACTGTCAACCCCTCAGCAGTCAATCACAATCCACTTCCATGTGAATGTCATGTCTGTCAGCTTTTCTGACTAAATGCTATGGTTTCCTCTCTTTTAGGACACTGCTAATTTGGTAAAACACAGCTTCTGGCAAAGCACTCAAATTCTCTCATTTAAAAAACCAATAAAATAAAACAGAATCCTAAACTTTCTAAGTAAACCCTCCTTCTACTGGCCCACAACAGGATTTTTGAAGCACATTATTATTACTACTGATGCATTATTTTCAACAGACTCACATGCACACGCAGCACAACATGAAAACACTGGGCAGCTGCTATGAGAAAGACAGAATTTGGCATCTGATTTCTTTTGTTAATAATAATAACAACTTACCTCAACTACTATTAAGTAACTCATTGCACGACTTGCTCACGCAGCATGCTCTTCTTCCCTTAAGAACGGGCACATCTATTTCTGTGAAGTGGCTATACTGCCTCACTTTGCCTCGTCTTCTCTCCCCTCCCCTACTGTAGGGCATGTGGGTGCATGTAACAAGGCACTAGTGCGGTTTTTGTGGTTTGAGCCGAGCCGTTTCAGGCGGAGTAAGCCCCTGACCCCTAGAGCTGGGAGGCAGAAGTTGGCCATCCCAACACCGAACTCTTAAGTTCAAGACTGTAAGCCCTGACAGCCAGCAGCAACAGGGTGAACAGAGGAGTTTAACAGCTATTTCCCTCATATAAAATGAAACAGAAAGACTGGGAGGTGGGGTGGATGAAGAAAAGCAAGCAGCAAATCTCCAAGTGGGGAATTAAACTGACCAAGTAGCTGAAAACAGGAAAAGTTGATTTCCAATGTACATTTATGTGGAGTTTTTCCATATTCTTTTTTTTTCTGTACTGAAAAAGGCAGGTTAATAGAACTACTTCATTACTGAGTAATCTGTCAGCGCTGGTTTTCTTTAGCACTGCTCAGAAGTGGTTCAAAGAAGCACCATCATGTATTTCCCGCTAGTCATCCTAACTGAGGATTCTTTCAGTTAAACTCTACTGCATTTTAATAATGTTTATTATTTCACTCTGCTTCAAAAAGGTGCTTGGAAGAATATTTTTAGTTTCAATCGAGAGGGAATAGTAGGTTTCCATTCACACACTTCTCTTCTCCATGCAACTGCACACGTCTGCATGAGTAACAAAGCACAATAAATGATAACCCTTCTCCCACAAATTGTTTAAGATTGCAATGAATTCCTGTTGCTGATATTGAGAAGCTTTCTTAACGTATCTTAATTTAGAAAGTCTTTAAAATTCTTGATCCCTCGCTTGACAGTAACATTTGGAGATTTTTTATTTTTTTCTTTTTCTTTTTATTTTTTTTTTAGCATTTTTATTTTAAAGTAAAAACTTTCAAACATTTTGAAGATTCAGGAACTTGTAAAAGTTTATCAACAAGAAACAGCCATCTATCTAGGATAAGGTTAAATAAACCATCTTCAAAAAACTGGCTTCCTACCCTAGAATTCCTGAGAATGCTTGCAAATTTAAAGCAGGAAAATAAAATGTTAAAATAAAAACAAAAACACTGTTAAATGCTCCCAGAGTTAGTCTTCATCTAAAATATATATATGCACTTTTTGGTCTTTTTTTTTTTTTTTTTTTTTTTTTTTTTTTTTTTTTTTTTTTTTTTTGTACGTTTTAATTTTTTCCCTTTAAGCTTACAATGGAAGAACAATTTAGCTTTTCTTTTTAAATATTTCAAATCCCTCATTATGTCTTGTAAACAAGAGGGGCTCTAGCACCCGGCTTTCACCGTAGTATCGCAATGAAGTTAACTAGCCCAAAGTGCAGGAAAAGGGACCTTAGGGCAGGTTGGGAGAGAGAAGTGAGGGTGGAACACAGCAATGAACCAGCATGTATAGCAAATCATGTGACAGAACAGATACTGGCTTGCTCAGGCCAAAGGTGCTTCACTAGGAAGTACTGCTGGCACAGGACTTTTAAGAACCTGCTCTGCATGTCTGAGTGTGCTTGGTCTTTGAGCAGAAACAAAGCTGTACAGATGCCTGAACATGAGGGTTACTAGCCAGCTAGCAGGAGCTGAAAGAGAGAATTTTGTTTCTTTGTGCACAGTGGGATAGATGGAGGAGACATGATAGGAAAGTATTTTCCAAAGGGGCCAGAGTATGCTGCATACTCCAGTTTACTAAACAAACACAAACCTACTCATACTTTTTTACCAGATAACGCTTTGCATACAAATCTACAGGCATGTGTATATGCAGCATTTCCCTCAGTCAGCCTTCCTTGTGACATTGGGGCTTACATAGAAAGGGCAAATTAAATTAAACAGCATTGTAATTCCCTAGCCCTTCCCTCCCACCCCCAGCACACAGGCATACACACACACAGACGCGCGCGTGCACCAACCTCCCCCACCCATGACTTGCATCTGTTTTTGCTTCTGCCCACCAAACCCATGAGTTAAATGCATCAGACATGGTCATATCCTTCAATGAAAATGCTGAAGAAACAGACTCCCCTATGTGCCCCCCTTCTCCAGTTGATAAAGCACTGCTCCCTCTGAGGGCTGGAATGGACAGGTATGTGCTGGTACAGAAGGTCGGCACTTTGTTAGACAGTGTAACAGCTGGACAATGCTGAATGGAAGTCCTAGCACTTATGGAAAAAGTACCGGCATCTCTCTTCCCTCTTCTCCCGGCCCCACCCCCCCAACAAAAGGCTTCCTGCTTTGTGTCAAGGGATGTTCCTTCAAGTCTGATACAACTCTTTTCACAACAACAGGTCTTAAAAGTTTTGTTCCCAGCGCACACATGCACGCACACACTGGCTATCACTGTGGATTATAGGTCACCCCTATCCTGCCCAGAATATTACTACACTGATGCTAAAAAAACCCCAAACCTTTCCTTAAATACAGAAATTAAAAAGCAACAGTACAGAAAAAAGTAAAAACAAAAAACAAAAAGGTGCAATACTTCTTTAAAAAAAAAAAGTCTTTGCTAGTTATATACCTCCCTAAGCAAAACCACATACACAGGAAAAAACACAACACAGAGAAACAAAAGGAAACCTTTGAAGTACACACTGGTTTAAGAACATTCGTAAGTAAACGTTTCTGTCAGTGATGGTCTGGCGCTGTAATGACACCAAGGCCTGGCACAGGTAACGCTCACCATGAAGGACGCAGGAAGGAGTTAGCTGCATGTGCTTTCAGGAGATGAGGCAAGCTGGCCGGCACTTTGCTGACACCACTCAGTTTTTTGTCAGTTTTAGTAGAAGCAGTAAATCAACTAAAAGGCTAATTTGATTGGGCTGGATTTTCAAGCTTTTGATGGATTCCTCTAGACTGAGTACAGGTGCTTATTTAGGTTTGAGGGAGAAAAGAAACACTTATTTTTAAAGGTACTGAAGCTTACAAGAGACTGAAAAAGAACATTTGTCTATCTGCACAAAAAATGGCAATGTCTCTTTCCTCCTCTTTTCCCCTTGTTGGAAGAAATAAATGGCTTGCATTATATAACAAACACTCTAGGGTTCAGTCAGTACAAAAACCCCCACATGCAAACATAAATAAAGATACTGCTACTCAAAAGACAACATTGTTTCCCCTCTCACCAAATCCTTCCGATATGGCAGTGTTCTGCTCTACCACGGTTAGAACAAGGGCTAGGAAGCAACTATCCACTCTGTATGACCAGCAAATTTGAGATAGCACCCTGCTAAAATGAATTTTAAAAAATCTACTGACAAATTTTAATCCAGCCCAACGGGATTCTGCTTCAGCCACAGGGACTCCACCATGCCTGTCTTGCTTTCAGAATCAAGACATGCAGATGGCCAGCCAGCCCGTAGACCATCAGCAATGCAGCGTTTCAAGATTATATATATAGAGAAAAAAATGCACACACAAACATGTGCACACGCACTCACACAGAAACAAGCACACGTGGGCAGTTACATGTGCCAGAACACACTGGTACTTATCAACCAGCCAATCACAAAGTGTTGGTTTTTTTGTTTTGTTTGTTTTTTCTGTTTTGTTTTTTTTTGTGGGTTTTTAATTTTAAAATTTTTTTCTAGTTTTTTTTTTGTTTTTATTTTTGTTTTTAAAGTGAGGCTCCGTCAAGTCTTTCCCTCCCCCCCTTATTCTTTTGAACCCCTCCCCAACCCCAACCCAACATGGTAGACCTAAGGACGGAAACACACCCAGTGCAAACAAAGTTAAAAAGCTATTTTTTCAGTATATATGTTTCTTAGCAACAACTTCCGTATAACATGAAAAAGTGAAAAACTAGAAACTAATTTTTTTAATTTTTTCTGTTTAAATTTAAATGGTATGTGTACTTGCTTCACATTGTCTTTCTAAGTTGGCGTTCACGATTCAAGTATTTCAAGAGTGATATGTTCTCTTTTTGGATTCATATTCCAAACGAAAAAACTGAAGTTATATAAGGGAGGCAACTATGTGCTCAGACAGTCTGTCAATGACCCACCTTTTTTTCTTTCTCCATTTTCTTTTTTCCTCTTATAAATGTATTTATTGCAAGTTGAAAAAAACGAAAAAGGTCAAGTTAGTGCTGCTGCTGTTCCAAAAAAGGTCACGAGGTCAGAGTTGAAAGTTCTAAGTTCAGATTGAATCCGACCCTCCTCCCAGAAGGTCTCCAGGTAGTAAGGGAGCAGGGCTGCCCATTCGGTGTGGATCCTCTACGCTTGGGACCCCCCACAAGCTTGAAGAATAGTTTGGGGGCCCCCACAATGAAGCGCCAGTGAGATCACCCCCACTGCTGCCGCCGCCGCCACCACTGCTCCACTGCCCAAGCCCTGTTGACCCACCAAAGAGATTCAAAGCAGGTCCAACTGGATCTGTCTGGTTCTGTCCTGTCTCCAGGGATTGCCAGCCCGCTGCGGGTGCACTCGGGGTTGCTGCAGGTGTAGGGGGCTGAGCTTGTGCCAAAAAGCGACTAACCTCTTCATCTGTGGCAAACTCAGCCAGGATGGTAGTGTTTCCCAACACACACCTACAGTGCAAGGTACACATAAGGAAAAAAAATAGAGCCAAAAGGTAAGGGGGCAAGGGATTCAGAAAGCACAGGAACACCAATAATAGGTGTTCCAAACCAAAGGAGGTATCAGCTACATTGCTACAATGGAATGGGCATGGAAAACTTCATCTGTTTTTGACAGTGAAACTCACAACAAAAGAACTTCCATTTTATACAGTGAAAAAACAAAACAAAACAAAACAAATGGAAAAAAAAAACCCCTCCCCAACCCCCTGCCCAAACACGCAGTTGTGCCTGAATAAAATCTTAATTTAAACTAAGGTTCGGAACATTAACGCCAAGAGCAATAAAAATGCCTATACCACGTAGGTAAATGCACATTTGCCACCTTTCAAACGCCACAGATGAAGAACAGATTAAAACCTTTGGAATTCAGGAGATTAGTAAAATTCAAAACATTTCACTGAGTTTAGGGGCTTACACCACCAATCCCACACCCGCAAATATTTTTGTCTCAAAACCTTGCTTACATGTGCAGTGCAGTCTGGGCCTTGGCCGCCTCCTGTTTGGTGTTGTATCGGATGAGGGCGGTGCCCTGGGTCAGGTTCAGATGGAATGTCAGCAGTGGGCCATGCTGCATGCAGATCGTCCTCAAGGTTGACCCATCAATCTGAGGAAGAACAGCCAGGATGAAACAGATGTTTGTAATTATTTTTTCAAACATACTTTAATCCTGACTTCATCACTTTAATTGAAAGATATGCTGCTCTCACAAAGAAAAACAGATGAAGCAGTGGGAAGTAAGCAAAGGTGACATAAGTTGATTTTCAAACAGGAACTGGTATGTCTTGACTTCTCACAGCTGCATAGAGTTTGTTTTAGTACGGAATAATCTAAATTATCTTTCCTGTTAATTTACAGCTTGAGTCCAGTTTTCCTTCTTTCACTGAGTTCCTTACACTGTCATGGACAGCTTTTCCAGTAATTATATACAACTTGTACTTCTCACCATCTTCAGTCATCAGAATTTCTACCAAAGGAACCAGGATGTCTTGATCTGCAGCTCTTTGATTTCAGCTGAATGTAGATAAACCAGTATTTAAAAGGCTTTTGCAAAACTGGAAGTATTTCTACAATTAAATTTTTGAAAATTTATTTTGGTGCTGCTTTGTCTTTATGGTTTATGAAACAGTGACAGAAAGAGCCAGTGATTTTGCTGCCAAATCCACCAATGTTCATTCCATCTGAACTACAGTTTTCACAGCAGTGTTGCCTACATTCCTTCTGCAGCCTTAACAGCTTGTTACTTACCTCCAGTAATAGCTGTTCTCCCAGGTGTTCTATACAGAGAGATTCCATTCCTGGTGTGCCACAGGGACATATGAATGGGATCCGTATGTGCAAATACTTAAGGAAGTGCTACTTTCTTCCTTCTTTTCCCCCTTATTTTATAATATAGCTTCAAATGAGGGAATAGGAAGTTGTGGGGTGGCACAAATATGGTCAAGGTTAAAACAAAGAACCTTGACATGAACATACTGTTCTTTCCAATCTTAACCATTCTATAAAACTGTGAATCCATCTGAAACTTTACAACTTCTCTCTCTACTGTACTGATCCCCAGTAAAGAGAAAATCCATAATGAGACAGTTATGATCTGATTCTATTTCCTACTAACTTAAATGCCTCCAAAATATATTCTTCTTCCACTAAATAATTCCTAAAGCATCACTGAAGTATTTTACACAAGCCAGACTTAGAACTGTGCTTTTTCCTCACACCACTTCTTCCTTCATATCAAGGTAAACAGTCTTTTTTACAAAAGACTTGCCATTTTGGGTGATCTGCTGGAGACCTCAGCTTTTCCTTCCACATCAACCCTTTCTTGTAGACTGCAGAAACAAGGTAAATTATCTGGCCGAACAGAGGACTCTCTCTAGACCTCACAGTACTGCTGATAATCATATATGCTGTTCCTAGGCCTTAAATACTAATTTGGAACGCTGAAACCAGGATCTCCACAGAATTCATTCTGAATGGCAGCAAGCTTTGAGAATACTTGTAGAAATAACCTAACTAGACTGGTTTTGGCAGGAACGCTGGAAAAATTCTGTGGTTTCACTATGGAAACACTAAAGTGAAAACTGACAGTTACACACATTTCTTATTGACAACATCCCAAAGAACAGCTATAAACCACTTCATGCTATAGTAATGAAATTTACCCTCACTTCTAAGAAAAATCTTTCTCTTCAATTATTTTTTGTAACTCTTAAGAAATGTTTTAACAGTCACATAACAAAACCTGAACATCTTAAAATTAGCTGAATATATTACAATAGGAAAACCAGTTAGACTGCAGCTCAGTTTAGTAGAAATACGTTGCATGTGCTGACAAATCTGATTTTGTCAGATTTTATTCAAAAAGAAACAACTCAAGAATTCAAAAATCCTTGCTGAAGCAAACAAGTCCCCAGAAACAACCATAGAAAATACCTGTGGAGTGAGATTGTGAAGAACCAGCCAGTAGCTAGGACGAACTGAGCCACCATCACTCCAAGTAGATGCTGCAAATTATAAGACAAAGCAATCAAGACAGATCTGATACAAAGAAAAACCATCTTTCTTTAGTTAATTCTTTCAGAAAAAGTCAACATTACCAGCCCTGTTAAAACATGAATGTCTTATCTTCAGTCCTGAAAGCAAAACCACACCTTTGCTCACAGTTTACATAAAGATTAATTTTACTAGAGTTTATCTTTGAGGAGTTTCTCACACACAGCAAGCATCTAGTCTTGAAAGGCCCTATGTAGCAGGTATTCTCTTCTGGCAGCTCTCAGCCCTTCTTCACTCATTCCCTGAAGCAGGACCTGGGATTCCACCCCTCACTGCACCAGTTACTGACAGCAAACTTCCATTTCAAGAAGAAACTCTCTTTTTTCCTATTACCAGACAACTGCAACTTCTCCATACCACTGGTGCTGTAAAACATACACTGCTCAGATTTTATCAATGGTGCTACCAGTTGATTTGTTCTCACCAGAGCCAAGCCTTGAGTCCTGTGCCCCCCAGCCCCTGACCGATCGGGGTGCTGTGCTGTTCCATGGAGATGATGGTTTGGGGTTGGTCAGGCCAGGAGGTGGGCGGGGCAGCCCTGTAGTGTTCCTTGAGGAAATATGGTTTTTCCACATCTTGTTGGAGAGATGAGTGGGATTGTGTCCTATGGGATCTGGGGACCATGTTGATTTGTAATCACTGAATTTTGCTAGAAGATTAAAGAAATTGTATCTATTAGAGAAACTTGTGAGATTAAGTACCTGCCCTATCACACTGAGTCTTTTGACTACATTTATATTGGAGAGAAGCAGGAAACAGGACTATACAACAGTTAATTTATCATACCAAAAAACCTCCATGTTACATGTAAATTAATATTTGCTTATTTTATATATGCTGATTAAAAAAAAGGAATATACCAGGATCATTTATGATAATGTAGCTAATTGCAGTAAATTACATCATTAATTAGATGAACAGCAACTTTTATGTCCACACTGCATTTCATCTGAGAAGAATTTCTTAAAGGTTTTGGCACTACTGACCTTTAATGAAATTGAACCTTAATGTAAAAAAAAACCTGCAGAGCACTGAAAGGAGTATTCACCATTCTTGGTCTCCTAAGCTACTGTTGCCTCCTAAAGGTGTCCTCCCTACAAGATCAAAGCTTTCTTGAGAGTCACAAACCTCAATGTTGACACAGCAGTACCACATAAAGAAGGCTGCTTTGCTGTGTGATGGTTGGACTTCTAAACACTCTTGACAGCGCATTTTTTTTCTAGAAAAATGTACTACCTGTACTAGTAGGCAGGTGTCTATTAGAAGACATATAGTGGGTATCCTTAACACATTTCAAGAACACTTTATAAAGAAATGCAATAAAAGAAAAAAATAAAAGTGCTCCCCAAAACACCACTATTGGTCATGAATATTTGTGAGCTCTGCCTAAACCAGTTTTTTAAAAAAGGCAGACAGCAAATTCTGCCACGTGATGGACTAAACACTCCAAGTGGAACAACAATGAATTAGTGCTAAATGAAAAATGCTGTATCTGGGTAAGTTTAGAAGCCTGCATACCTGAAGTGCTATGAACGTTGGTGAAGGAATTGTCAGAGGCACTGTAGGGCCAGGCACCAGGTGAAGGCAGCGAGGTGTTGAGGGAAGAATTCGACCCTATCAAAAAGAAACGGAGAGAGAAAGAGGAGACCAAGTTTACAGAGTTTCTGTAACACCATTAAACCTCAAGACAGCCACGACGGTACCAGTGCTAAGCTTTCAGGTGCTCCCAGCTACAGTGCAAAGACATGCAGCTCCCTTCTCAGACAAATGCAACAGACTATTTGTCTGTGACGACCGCAACACTGCAACAATCCCGAGTATCAGAGCGACTTTGATAATCACAGACTAGGTGTTCACTTGTTTTACCTGTGGTGTTGTCCCGCAGAAGTTGGTGGTCAGTATCTACAATGGGAGATGTGGCTGTCCCCCCCAGCACACTTCCAGGGGTCACATAGGGGTCAGATTCAGGGTCAATGTTTTGTATACCTTTCCATGGCACTCCTGGTTGGAACTCTGGACAGGAGAGAAAAAGGAATTACATGCAATCAGGGAAATATTACTTACTAGAAGTAATTGCTGAAGGTATTTCAGGATGGTAAACAACTGTCTTCTACACTGTTCCTTATGGGCAAAAAAAAGACTACATGCTAGAATCGTAATCTATTTCACAGTTCCTCGCACAGCACTAGCTCTGCTTTCATATGAATACAAGTCTACACTACAAAAAAAGTGGTACAAGGGCATCCAGTATCCCTTTAAGTGCTTCTGCTTTGCTACATTCAGATGAGGTTTCAATAGTTTTAGCAAATTCCATATAAGATGTGTAATATTAGATCCATACACATATTTTGTGTGCATGCAGCAGCCTTTCTCCAGCAAAGGCTACCTACCTTAGGCGTTTGGAAACACATTTGGCACATCACACTGTATGTACACAAACACTATATACATTACCTATTAATACTAAGGTAAGATGCCTTGTGGTAAAAGTAATGTGTATATACTCATTGACATTCTTCATGCTTCACAATGAGATGGGATATACTTATCATGCTTTAGTTTGAACTACAGCTCCAGGCATGCCATAATTTTAAGACAAGAGGATGAATTTATGAACACACAAAGACTCCAATTACTGTAAGAAAGATCAGTAACTTGGTTCGTTCAATAAATAAAGTGCTGTGGTCAGTTCTGGAAGCAGTGGTGCAAAAGTAAAACTGACGAACACAAAAACAAGTAAAGAAGCTTCATATATTATGGGACAATCTGTGTGTGAGAAGAGTGCAAAGGTGGCAGATTCATCCCTTGTTGATACAAGTCCAGGATACAGAATTCCTAACCCAAATTTCTGAAATAATTAAAAATAGAATATTATTATACAATTAAAGATCCATTATTAAAAGCGGGATCCAAGATACACTCTCTAGAATGAAGCAACATAGGATGAATCTGGCCTGGAAGGGTTCATTTCAATCACCTTTGTAATGAAGAATTATAGTCAAGACTATGACTTGTCACAGACAAATACAGAAGAAAATATGATACTACTGGTTCAAATTATTGCCACAGCAAGGGCAGTATTAGACTGTGATAATGCAGATGAGAATCTGGGAGAAGACAAAATAAATGCCCTACTGGGTCAGAACTACAGTTCATCTGTGTTTTGCCAACAGCACTAGGAGAAATACCATTAAGGGACAGAACACAAACCTGGCCACTATCTGTGGACTATTGGCCTCACACTCTCCCAGTATCCATAGTTGTCCTAACTTAGATGGCAGAAATACCCTCTCTATCTGCTAGCACCAGCTTGTGAAACTGTTTTTCCATCATTTTATCCAAGCACTGTTTCAACTGGCCAGTATCACCTGTCTCAAGAAGCTGTGAAAGCAACACAACCTGAAAGTTCACCACTCCTGATGGAAAAAAAAAGCTCCCATCTATTTAAAATTTATATCCTCTTAATTCCAGCATTTGCACCATGGTTCTAGCATTGCAGGAGTCACAGAATTACAATTCTGCATTTAGCTCGTTCCCTGCCTTCATGATTTTATAAACCTCAGTTACATCTCCCAATCTTTAATAACAAAATAATCCAGGTATCAAAACTATATGAGCAATCAGCAGCTCATCATGGAAGGTCTCTGCTCAGCTACCACCAAAATATTGCCATCCCCTGACAAGTAGGGCCTCCCTTTGTTAAGGAAGAAGTAATACAGCTCTTGGGTCTACTCAAAATATCTTCTCTGTTCTGAGAGAAAAAATCCATGAACACAAGTTAGAACCTGGAAATTAGAGCTTGTTTGGAGAAAAAGAAAAGGATGTCCAACTCTTCTATTTGCAAAGATTCTGAGAAACTGAGACTGAAAATTAAGTGCACAGGAAGCTCTAATCAAAAGGTTAATGAATATACAAACAAGGCTCCAAGAATCAAGGGTATTATTGTTTATGAACACATATACTCATCAATGAAACCCTGGTCTGGAAAAACATTTCCTTGAACTACAGCATACTGACAAATTTTCAAAGTCTCCTTTGGGGCTGATTATCATGCACATTCACCAACGCTTGTTTAAAGACATGCTCTTTTACTTCTAGGCAGTAAAGAAGACATGAAATGCATTTCTCCACAGAGATTTGAAAGGTCCTCTCAAAAAGCTTAAAAATAAGATTATTGTGAAAATCATGACAGAGACATCCAGGCCAGTTTGCCTGAAGTATGACGGATCTTGAATGGGAAAATTACAGTCTAAGTACGACCTAAGTATGCAAGTCTGTGCAACATAACCAAATGACATAGCTCTCACCAATGCAGCAAAACTTGCTCTCACCTCCAGCTGTGATATCAGTTTGATTGGGCACCACTTCATTTATCTTTGTGCTGAACAATACTGATCTCTTGAATGGCAGAATTTCTGCAGCAGATGGCATTTAGGAGGAAAATGCGAAAGGTGTAGTCAGGATGAATGCTGAGTGACCACTGTTTTCATTCAAAGGAAAAATGCACCTATTTCAAGAGGTTTTCTCTTGTAAAACCATTTTTGTTAACAACTTTTTTTTCCAGCACTGGGAGGAAGAAATCTATCTCCATGCCAGGAACTGAGAGAGGACCTAATCTACAAGCTTGTAGAGAAAAACATAAGAGTGTAAAGGTATTTTACATCTTCATTTTTCATCAGGGGTGTTGTATTGATAAGGTAGATCTTGATTTCAGTTTTCCTTGTCAATGAAACCACTACAATACAGTTAGACTACAATACAGCTCAAGTGGCTGATGGTCATGGAACAGTAACTTGTCCCAGCATCTTATGGATAAGAGTGGAACAGCAATAACGGAATAAATGCCACCTCCCAAAACCCAGGATCTGTTACATGAGGGCTGCAATCATAGTCTTGGGCTACTCACAAGAAATGAAGAATGGTACTGAGGCTCTCAGTGAAATTTTATGATCCAAATCACTTACCCTCTCATAGTGGTGAGGCAGTCAGCAACAAAAAAATTTATCACTGACAATGGGACTACAGATATTACTAGGGAAGCTCTATGGTATCAACAAGGGGCAAAGAGCAGCTATCAAACTTTTAACTTCTGTAACAGTTTTGGCACAAAAAACCTTGCCAAAGCCAGTGGCTACTCCAAAACTTGGAAACATGGCAGAGCTGATCTTCTTGTGTCTATTCTGAGCAGTACTGTATTCCTCAGTATAATACAAGGCAATGGTGACTAAGGAAACAAGTTCAGCAACAATGTGTCTGTGAATGAGGTCTGCTAAAGATTACATTTTGGGAGTTTCTGGCATTATGAACAGGAACTCCAGTCAAAAAAGCTCCATACTTAACAACCAGGCTGACTGAAGTGTAACACAAACATAGCTGTACAGAATGCAGTGAGCAGTATGAAAATTTGTGCATGTGCAGATGTTTTTGAGATAGCTAATTCTTTAGCTCTATTAGCTCATCAGAAGATGTTTTCTTGCTGGAGTTAAGACACTGAGGGCTTCACTCAAAAATCTTAAACTACATTTTCTAGATTTCCTGCAGTTGCATCTGTCACATAGATTCCTAACTTTCTGATGCAAGGTCTGTGCTACTGCTGTACTCAAGAGATGTACCTGGACTTTGTTACTTCTTTGTGCTTGAGAGGATACACAGTAGAGGGTTTGCAGCTAGTACTGTTTTCCTGGAATGCAATTGTCTTCCAGACAAGAGAAAAATCAGAGCACTCACTATTTGCTGAACAGCGTTGGTGATTAATCTGTGCAACTTCAAGGACACCACTCTATTTAAACAAATGTTCTATATAGAAAATTACATGTATATTCCAATACATATGTGCTTTTCCTAGAGAGTTTTCTAGCAGAAAAATAAAATTCTGCCAGTGAAACCAGAAAACTTAAAAAATGAGCACCAGCCTGCCATCCCAAAAGCACGAAACCTCTGCCCAAGGCACAAGATTCCTGAGCATAACTGAAGGGTTGCAACACTCTTCTACCATTTATGCGACATGAACTAAAGTGAACCACAAGAGTGTGGTGTTCCCACCATCACAAAAAACCTTACTTCACATCTTTTTCTTTCTCATTCCACCCTATCAATAATTTTAACACTGTATCAGTCTAACAAAGAACAAATAAGGAATCAGTACAAAAGAAGGGACATAGTGGTGTCTATTCTATGACCATATGTTTTCACAAAATTTTCTGTAAATGTAAGAAGATATGAGTTCACCTAACAAAAACCAAAGACTACTCAGGCAATTAAGCAGTTAGCTCATATTCAGCCCAGCATTTTTAACTGGAAATTCAACATTTACGTTCTACTTTAATGTGGAAGAAATTTCAAAACCAAGATAGGCCCAAGCCACCAAGTGTTTTCTTTGTAATTGTTATTTAAGCAAGTATGATGAGGAAAGGTCCAGCACATCTATCTTAAAGCGAGGATACAACCCCTGCCCTTATGTAATACCTGGAGGCCAGCTGGCATTGCTGGATTTACTTCCAATCTTGTTTGTTGGTGGAGATTTGGCAGGTAACCAACTATCACCAGCAGGGCCTGTATGGCTGCTGAGCGGGTCGCCCTGGATTATGTCAAACTGGTTGTAGGGCGATCCTCCGCGAGCCTTTCCAGGGGGCACTATTGCACCTGCAGCATTAAAAACATACATTTACACTTGGGAAAGGTTGGGATCTTCAGGAGTATGGTATATTAACACAAAAATATTTAAGATGCATACTGGTGAGGCAAGACAGTTTCATCTAAACTACTTCACCTCTGGTAAGATGATCCTACAAGGGCATTCCCAAAATTCCCCCTCTCACCATTTTTGTGCATATTGGCATCTTGTGAAGCCACAGAGGGCAGCCCTTCCATCATAGTCCACTGCTTAAAGCGGGATTCTGTTCCAGCCTCCTTCCCTCCCACCATGCCATAATCCATGCCACTTGAGCCAAAGCCTGTGGAACAAACAAACAAAACAAAACAAAACTCAATTGTCATCCTCTGTTTTGTTTTTAACCATCTTTAAATGGAGAGCCATTGTAATCATAAGATGGGAAAAAGAAATCAACAAGAACAAAAGGTACGTTTAAGGAGCATCTTTCAGTAAGTGTGCTGTGTCAGTATGCCATGATATGCTTTCTTCTTAGGTTTGTCTTCTTCCCATGCAATGAAAAATAATGCAATTTGATTCAAAGCTGACACTTGTCATAACCTTTGCTCTAATGCTTATACATAAATTACTCATTTCTGGACCCAGACCTAAGTAACTAACATAATTACCATATTAATAAAAGGGAAGCTACAGGCAATGCACCAAACCTACTTCCACAAAGCACTTACCACCTGAACTGTATCCAGGTATCTGCCCTTTGGTCTGTAAATCTGAGAGACCCACATTCAAAGGATTGGGTACCATGCTGTCTAAATGTGGCTTAGGCCCAACAGGGTGGGATGGAGAATGCTTCATGCCAGGCTGCCTCTGCTGCTGCTGCTGGAGGGCACTCACCATACGAGCAATCTGCAAATGAAAGAAAGAACCGCTTCATCTATGCTATACTGCAATGCAAATTACAGTAAACATAAAGAAACAGTGAATTAAAGGAGATACAAAAGACCCTGCTCTCCAGAAAGTGCAATGTGAAGAGAGCGGATGATGTTACTAAAGCCAGCACCATCTCTAGTGCAGACTGCATTTCCCCAGCAAACTTCATATTCATACAGTTGACAAAAACAGTGCCACACACCTGTTGCTCCTGCTGTTGCCGCACAGCTTGAGATAACTTTCTCTGGCTCTGTAACAGCTGTTGCTGCTGCTGCTGCTGAAGGAGGAGCTGACAAGCCTACAAGATAAGGGAGGGTGGGAAGAGTGAAAATATTGAGCTCATCAAGTGAAATATAATTGCCAGGAGCTATTCACTAGCAAACGCTTTGCTCAGGATTTAGGTAAACTGTTTCTCATTCTACTCACTCAAATAAAATGGCAATGAATGCATTAGAAGAATTCTAATCCTTCAGTTAAATGTTAAAGTTTCTAATTTAACACTGTGCAACAGAATTACTCGTACCTCCTTTATTCCCATCACTATGACTGTAAGTCTGGAGAAAACTTCATGAAAAATCAACAACTGCTTTCTGTTGGAAAACATGGCTTGGAGCCATTATGAACACACTGTAATCCACAATAATTACATGGGCCTATTTGGTATATCTGCTACCTTCTATCAGGACTTTATTACCCCATAGAGCAAAGAGGGAATACTTGTACAAAATAACATCAGTAGAACAAAACAGAATTAGAATAAGTACAAAAAGAAAACTCTTTCAGCAGACAATTTGCAAACTGTCTTGTCTCACAAGATTACAGCTACTTACTAATTGAAACTGGGGAATCTGTGGAAGCTGGCTCAGCATGGCAATCTGTTGTGGAGAAAGCTGGGGGCCCATATTGAAGAGACCAGGATTCAAGCCACTGTTGGGAAACTGTTTGAGCATGGAGGCCGAAACCTGCATGGAAACCAGTTACATATCCTGAATGCACTGCTACGAGGAAAAGATGATGAAGAACAAGTATTTCTGTACAGGAACAAATATGACACCAATCTTCAATGGTGTTCTGGGAAAGACATTACAGATTTATTAACACATCACATTTAAACAAGCACAGTCTATAAGCTGGGCAGAGTGAATACCTCACTTGATTGACAGTATACAGTATTACATGTGCAGATGCAGACACACACACAAAGGTTATTCCCCCAATCAATAAGGTGCTAGAGACTCTGCTAAATATAAATGCTGATATATATGCAGCTAACCAGTAATCACAGTACTGCATTATCACATTAAAAATGTACTGCTTGACAAGGGAAAAGAAAGGCATTCAGGCAGTCACTGGAGCAAAGAAACAGTGCCTCACAGAAAGAGTTAATCTCATTGTACATTGAGCAAGATACAGTAAAAGACAGGAGTAGGTGGAGAAGAATCCCCCCATTTCTCCCTGCATTATTGGAGAGTTACACAAGTACAATTAAAGAGAATCTCAAGAACTGTTCACCAAGTCCAAAGCAAAAGGTAAACTTGTACATATGGAGAACCTGAGGTCTTAAGATTAAGCTCTGCAATACAAATGTAACATGTAGCCCCTTCATCAAACCTCTCTTCTGGGGGGGACAGGAAGCACAGGACAAGACTACTTAAAAAAATGAAGCAACCTGTTACACTTCAAAAACATGTTAAGCTTTCACGTTTATTTGTTTTTTTTTAAATACTTTGCAAAAGCCTATATAAAATATAGGATTCCCAAATTCACTTTTGAGGTTTAAAAATACTGGTAGCGAGCATTTACCATCAACTGCCTTGGAATAAGACAGAATGCTAATGCTTCTGTGCTGAGTTTTAAGTACTTTGACTATCTTATTTAATTTTTCAATTTCTTAACATCAAATTGAGACCAAGACAGGTGTATAAGTAACCTCAATTATGTGCTCTGAAGGCTGTAACTCTACTTTTACAAGTAATCAGTTGCTATAAATTCCTTACCTGGGGAGAAAGGAATTGGGGAGGCACTTGCGCCCGGATATTGGGGGAAGGATTTAGTGGCTGCACTGGTGTGTGCATGCCCCTCGATTGTGCTGTGCTGTTTCCAAACAAACCATGATTGCCACCCTATAAAATTAAAGCAGTAGTGAGAAGATGAATATTGCAGGATAATGGATTTCTATGCTAAAAACTACAGATCAGTAACAATGAGCCAAGTTACTGACTTAAACAGCATTCCCTTAGAATTACAGATTCTGTTTGGCTAAAATCAGTAATATCCTACCTGGGTTAAAGCCACTGTACTACATATTTGAGAAGCAGGTTGTTTCTCCTCTAATACCAAAGGGTCATGCTTATCTACTTACTTCAAGACATGACAAATCTACCGTTTTAATATTTTGCACTTTACATATGGGGAAATGGAAACTTGAATACAAACAACAAACTATAAACTCCATCCATTGGCCTAAAAGTATGGCAAGACTGCGTCAACAAGAATTCTGGCCCCCCATTTTAGAGAAGACAGGTACTTTTCCTGAGCTATCACTAACAAGGCTATTATTTTTTTCTCTGTAGGCCTTTTATCAACTAATACTATTTTAGAATTAAAATTTCCCTTCCACCATGAAAACTACAAAATTCTGGAGTTGGGTATTTTCCTTCCCCTTTTCTCCCACTAAATTTGAAGAAAATTTTCAAGTAAGAAAGAGTTGTGGGGTCTTTTTTCAGTGATTTATTTTCTAACGCAAGAATACTTGCTCTTTGTATTTTCTGATTTATAAGCAACTTCTGTAATAAACCCTAATGCATGAACAAGACCCCAGAAAATTTGTGATTATGTTTCACGATTTCAGCCTCTTGAGCAGACTTTTTTTGGTACAATTTTTCAAATAAAGCAAGAAATGCTATCAAACAGTCTCCTACACTAACTAAGCTACACTCTCCTGCGTCTAAAAGGTGAAGCTCATCCTCCAAAGCATCCTTATGTGCCATGAATTCGTCTTTTCAGTTTCAAGACCCTCATAATTTCCCATCTCCTCCTGTCTACCAGGGTGTCTTTGACCTTCAGATACCTGGGGTTCTAAGGAGTGTATTTTCCACTCTTCACCCATCACTCCCTATTCTGCCTGTCCATGCCAGCATTACTGCACCCAACATAAATCCATCATTATTCCAAACTGAGATCGTGCAGGCCTTCACTAAAACCTCTCCTTCCCTTATATACCAGGATTTCATAAATCCTATCATAACACTGTGCATAATACTCCTACCATTAATACTGTGCATCCTCTGCTATCCTTTTGCTCAAACACAAGTGTCTCCTCCTGCTTCAACACTGGCAGCACTACAGATTGTCTCATTCACCTGCATCCCCCTCCATCCAAAGCACCTTCTCCTTCAGAAGCAACTCCTAAGAATGCAGGAGGACAAACAAAAAAACCCAAAAGACAAGAGGTTTTATTCTGTAAAGAGTCAGATGGAGTCAACTATACATTAAAATTTTTGAGAGGCCTTGAAACTGCAGTTACACTTTCAGCTCTCTCTGTAACTCCTCTCTATACCAAGAGTTCTGCACACTGAGATCAACAACATGCCTGCAAATTTTGGACTCAATCTGATGTTCAACACTGTGTCACATAGAAACAGAAAGACAACACAAAGAAACACCATCATGTTAGGCATATGACTACATAAACTAGACCAGCTGCAATAATTAGGTACTTATTCTTTCATTTCCTAGTATTCCTAAAATATTTTCTTCTAGAATAATGCAGAACATAATAGCCAGAAATTCTTTCAAACTGCAGTTAATCACTTAAATTCTTCCCCATAATTTCCCTACATATAAAAATATTGCTACTTCAAGAATTTTTAAAAGCTACTAAATCAATCCTTACTTTGAACCGTGAGGAAGGGAGAAGGGAACACACACAATTCTAAATCACTGCAACTTTTTACAGGCACATTTCTACATACAAGGTCTTTGAGTGGAGTCTGAAAAACTTCAGTGTTGGGTTTGATGAGGCAAATCAACAGCCTCTAACTGGGTTTTAAGCCAGCAATTAGAATGATGGATACAACTAACTTCACGACTTCTGAAAAGCACATCCACCTGCTGTTGCACTGCAATTTAAGAAGAGGCCAACAAAACCAGAGTATGTTCTGATGCTAGAAACAAAAGTGGACTGATTCTCAATGGCCTGAGACAGCTGAAATTACCATTAACAATCTTAATCTATTCAGCAGAAAAACAAATGCAAGCAACCAACTAACCAGGATTAAGCCCAGGTTGCAGCCTTACAACAATCTTATAAGGTGGCCTGCTTACTTGTCTAGCAGCGAAGTTTTGGGGACTGAGCCCTGAGCCGATTGCCCCAAGGCCGACGTTGGATAGTGTGGAACCAGAGGGAGACAGCTTGTAGCTGGGAGAAGGGGAGAAGGGAGAGCAGGGAGCCTCATCCCCAAGGCACCCATCTTGATTGGAGAAAGGCAAAGTCAGCTGAAGCAGCAGTTAGCCAACAGCAGGAGTTGGTTAGTGAAGCAACAGAATGCAAGAGGAGAGAAAGAGGGATGTGAGTGATTAGGAAGAAGCAAAGTTAATTTGTAATAGCAATTACAAGGACAAAACTTCTGATTCAAACGATCACTTGACAATTAAGATTTTGGTCCAAGGAGATACTCTTAAGTTTCATTTTTAAAAATACGTTTTAAATTCTCATGAAATTAGTTTCTGATAGTGGCTATTACCACTATAGAAGCAAACAAATCTTGAATGAATTCCTAATGTCAGCACACATCTACCAGGCATAATTTGTTAGGAAACGTATTAGCTTTGCTCATGGTATTTATTAATTATGCCACCAGAGGGAGTTGACAAAACTGCTTTTCGGCTTGTTATACCAAAATGGAGGAGTTAAAAAATTCCTAGACAGTTAACACGCCTTCAGAATTTTTAAACCAAATTTGTTTTCCATTCTACATGTGATAAACTGTATCTAAAAAAAAACCCAAAACAGCCCTAGAGTATTCTGCATCTATTGGACACTCTCCCATTCATAATGTGAAGCAATTAATACTTGATAATAACAGTGAAAGCTTCTGTTTAAAATAGGCAAGAATATGAAAGAAACACTGTCATAACATACAACAGATGTCGCAGAGAAACAGATGTCGTACAGAAGCTTACAGTACACGGACATACAGCAAAAGGGGTTGTGGAATTTAGAAAGGGTGTTTCCAATAAATGCCAGACATGAATGAAGAAAAAAATTTGGAAGACTGTGAGTACTTAGATTTACTTATATCTCAACCAGTTTTTATTTACATTAGATGACTGTAGCTAGTAGCCAAAAGATTCATCATGATGAAACCTGTAACACATTTTATTGCTACCAGTAGTTTACCTTTCTAAGAAAAAAGAAAGGAATTTGTCTACATCAAAACCAGTCTATTCTAGAATAAAAAGCCTCGCTCTCACCAATTTTGTCTACGCACACCTGACATCTGTTCTATACACACATTCCTTCTACCACAAAACCACCCCACAGTTTTTACTACTGAGCCCACTCAGGGTTATTCAATTTTTAGCACCTGTGGAGAACAAGGGTAAAAACTGGGATCTTGAACATAAAGGTCTAAAGATATTTCTCTCACCTTCTCAAAATAAGGCCCACTATCTGTGGTTCCCATGTCTTTGGAATTAGGTGGACGGAACCCAGATCGATCCTTTCTCATCATGTCATTAAAATCCCCGAGATTCACAGCTCGTTTATCTACCTCAAACTTCTTATCTGGGAGACCACCTGCAAAAAAAGAAATGAATGCAAATAATCTCTACCATGTGTCAAGACAGCAGGTTCACAGCCAAAGAAATAAACTTTAAGATCAGGGTACTAATTACATCTGTCTTATAATTTAGCACAGCTACAGCTGGTATTAGAAGTGTTGAAAAATAAATGTAGGAAGTTTCATTTAACACTGAACATGCCGATTTACTTTATGGAGTTTAATGTTAAGTACTTACCACAATTTATGTAGAGATATAAACATAAACATTTCAAGTAATTATATTAATTAATACCTAATTCTCTATGTCTCCCAAAACGTGCACTGTAATTTTCTGAGATTTAGTATGTAGAAAGACCACTATTTAAGTTCTCCATTTAGTCTGCTTAGCTTCTGCTGGGTTTGACATTGAGAAATTGAGATAATTTGAAAAATTTGATCACATGCACACAATTTGGTCAAGATTGTCCTACAGTCACATGAACTTGATTCTTTAACACAAGACAATCTGTAACTTCAGAGAGAGAACCAATGTCCCTCAGCCTGTACACAATAACACAACCAGTAACAGACACTTTTCAATCAGCCTCTAAAGTCTCCTGCTATTGTTTAGTCAGCAACCTGGACCAAATCGAACATACACGGTGAATAAGACATTGACTTTCTCCAAAAGCTTTATCAACAGCCAAAGAGCTGACTGGAAGAAGTTTTCCACCTTACACACCGAACTGTTGCCAAGGAACAATCTTTTTGGTCAGATGCGACACCTGTAAGCTATCAGATGCATATTGCTATGTTGAAGTAGATGGAAAACATGTTTGTTTTAAAATACGGATGTGATAGAAATGAGCTTTACTGGTATTTTTAATTTTAGAGAATACTGTTCAGTTAGTAGCACAGATGGTTTTTCCAAGAATCATTTTAAAAACATGTCAGCACACTTAACAAGAAAATGTGTGACTTTCCAAAGGAAATTGGTGATAGATAATCTACCCTACCATTGACAAAACACTAAACCTTTATCAGAGCAGACAGCTAATCGCTTTAACCTTCAAGACAGAATTCTTCAAAAAAGCTTCTCAAATCCAGCATCTCTTCCTAATGTCCAATCCCAATCTATTAATATTCACAGCAATGCTAGAGCCAAGAAGCTAAGAAACTGACCACTAATTGTGTGGGGTTTTTTTTAACCGCACAGCTTTCAAAGCTGATGCAGCCTCATCCTCTCAGATGCCTTCAACATCATTTATCACAAGACAACTGACAACTCACCTACATATCTTAGCTTGTAACTGGAGTCATACTGACCTGGATGAGCTTGTGGATTTCTGATTCCTTTTCTAACATATCCTGAAAGCTACAACTGGCTTTGCAAAAGCACTCACAAAGTGTCACAAACAGCTCAGTGCTGTCAATATCTACATCACACCACTGCACACAATGCCAGCAATGTGCTACTAAAAGGCTCATGTGCTTAAATTCCACACAGGAAGCCCTGGCCATCACTTGCTTGAAAAGAAACTGAAAGCGAGGCACAGTTGCATCACTGTCTGAAATGAAACTGGGTCAATGCCAACACAAGATGACTAAGCCACAGAAACACCCTTGCATCTCTTGGTTATCCTGATGATCCAATCAGGTCCTCAAACATTACTGAATGATGCCTTGTAAAATACACAGAGCATTAAAAGAGCACCTCTGAAGGCTTGAAGCACAGATTTGCATGTCACTTAGTGCTGAGGCAGCTGCTTAAACTTCAGTATAAACAAGGCCTTACAGAGAAATGATTGCATTCCTTTATCCCATTCATAGAAAATTCTAATGCAACTTTGAAACATGTTGTGTGAGTCTTGTCTTTTGAACTTGTCAACTAAAGCAAAAAATAATGGAGGGGGCTAAAGAATAGCCTTACCTTATGTAGTACATGGCAACTGACAAAATGTGAAAAGTTTGAATTACCCTCTACAGTAGGCAAAAGCACTTGTGTATGAATAAATATGAACCCCTGAATTCTCTACATGCAGAAACATAGAACCAGTTAAAAGTTATTCCATCTTCATAAAAAAAGACCCTATCATTTCTTGGATTTTTCCCAGTATTAAGAGTTGAAAAAAACACTGTGAAAAATGCAAAATCAAACAAGGACTTGGAAGATGATGCTCACTCCCTAGGGTGGGAAAAAACTTCTAGTAAGTACATCTTCACCATCACATGCACAGAGCTTAAAGAAAAAGAAGAAAAATAAATCTGAATTCAATGCAGAATTATCTAATACGATCCTGCACTGGAAAGTAGAAGATACAAACTGCCGCTGAGCAAAGCTACCCCAAACATTTGCCAAAAAGAGACTCAACATGGTGAAAATAGATACACACCCAGTGGGGTAACCCAAATGGAGAAAGCCATTTGAAACATCTTCTGCTTAACAACAAAAACATTTTGAAGATACTGATCTTATACCTTTAGCATAAATTTACATCATCCAAGCCTACTGAGCAACAACATGCACTTAGATATTGAAGTGTTTCATCTGAATGCTACATAAGTTACAGCTTTGTAACATATTAACAATAACCAGCTGCACAAATTACATTTGTAATGTAATTTAGAAAGATAAATTTTTAATTAATTTCTCAGTATTTACGGTGATTTGAGAATTCTCTGATCTGCAGAGGTTTTAACTAATATATTTAAAAACAAAGGCAACTGTCAAAATGGGAAAAGAAAATACAAAATATTAAGTGGTTCTGACAAGCTACTTTACTGTAGCAAGCTTTATATCTCAGAATTACAGAATAGGAGCTATTTCAATGGGGAAAAGAAAAGTTGTATCCTACTTTCAAAGTAGACAAGCTATCCATTAAAGAGATTTGACAAAAGAAGAAAAGAAGTACATCTGCCTCAGACATGTTATTGATCCATCTCTTTTCTATCTTGGTCAGTAAATAGAAGTATTACTCTAGCACTTGAAATAAAGGGAACACACTTTTGAAACAAGGAGACTGAGACCAATGTAGTAAGAATTACTGACAATGCATGATGCTCAGAGCCAAGGTGCTCCAAACATACCAAAGCCAAAGTTTTATTTGACATACGTGGTCTCTAAGCAAATTTACCTCTATGCATTTATCCATAAACTAGGCAAACATCATACTGGCAGTCATCTGTCAGCAAAACATGCTATGTTGTAATCTTCAATGAAAACCAATTGAAGAACAAGCCTACCTCATTAAGTCCAACTTTTAAAGTTTAGAAGTAGACCTGGGCTGAGCAAAACAGCTTATAGCTTTCCAAATGCCATTTCACAAACAAATGCCATAAGCAACAAGAGCAAAACCGCTAAATACAGAAGTAACAGAAAAATCTATGAAGATCTGTTACATTCTCAGTCTTTGAAACAGAATACAAGCCATAATAAATGGCCCTACCCAAGATCAAGGGATGCCACCATTAATGGGCACACTAAATTTAAAGAAGCACAACATATCAAGGTAAAAGATGCAGCCTTTCTGCACCATTTCACAGGATATTCTGAGCAGCAGTCACCTCAGAAGCTCTGATGGTCTTAGGGTCCTTAATAGTTCCAAAATATCCTTAACTTGGAGATAAGAAACTAAGAGAACTATAAGCAACATAATCCTCTTCATTTGTATATGCTTAGATCTGTTTTTTACCAGCAGCATCTGAAGGCAGGTGAGAACTGAACACCCGTGATGGTGATTGATCTCCATCTAGAAATTCTTTAGAGAAGCATGATACAGAGCCTGAATTCTAGGGAGGACGCTTGAGGCCAAACTGGAGAAATCAAAAAATTGTTACCTTTCAGAAAACTGCATCATACCATATAAATAAACATTCTTCTCATCTCTTACTGAGATCTTTAACTACCTCAGAGGAAGACAGCAATTTTGGGAAAAATGAACAACTGAATCCTTTATGAAATGTGATAGAAATTTAAGAATGCAATGGATTCTAAGCTGAGAGACACTGCATCTGTCTGGATTGTATTAGAATACCAAATCCACACCAGGTATTAGATGCAAGTAAGTCTTGACTACCATAGTTCTCCTTTGTTACCACACAGCCATGATGCTAAAGCTGCATAGCAATTGTGGTGAAGCTATCCAGAACATAAAATCTAGTTCTACTGAAAAGTAATTTGTAATAACATAAGGCATGCAACTGAAGAAATCAATGATAGAAGGTAATTTTTTCCCCTCACACCACCTCCAGGAAGCTGCAATAAATGGGATGTCCTACTGGCAGGAGGGAAAACAGTACTCTACTACCAAATGAAAAAGATTTTCACTTTGTTGAAACGGTAACAATGAATACAACCTTAAAAGATTAAAACAGTCTACCCCAAGTTACAGCTCTGCTATGTACAGGTATACAACCCAATCTTGCACACCAGAGTCAAAGCTTACAGACAAGATGGAAGATGTTTTTTACTCCAACCTTGTATTGTGAGGAGTGCTAAAACTAAGAATCAAGCCCTTCCAGAAGTACAGCATGTTATCCTCATAAAAACACTACAAGCGATCTCACATTTCAAATGTATTGCAATTAAAATATACGCACCTACAGACAAGTCCATCTTACTGCCTGGAATGTCGTCAGTTTGACTCTGGGGGGGGGAAAAAAAAAAAAACACAATTCAGTTCTGACTTCAATGCTGAGAAATATTTCAGAAAGGTGGAATATAGGAAGAGCATGCTTGTGCTAAAACTAAAACTGAACACAAGGGTTTCTGATATCACCCTGGACACACCTTGCCTCAACCCCCTAACGCTGCACGTGTAAAGTTTACCCATGTGAAACCAGACACACAAAGGCAATGAGGGAGGAAGATGGACAGAGAGCTGCTCCATAAATGAAACTCTGGCCTTATGTTCCAGTGGTTGAGTGACAAAACACTGAAAATAGTCGCCAAAATGATAGCTCATTCTCATGAACTGTTGTGCCATCAAATCTTGAAATATACTGCCATGGGATTCTTCAGCTAGCAGTCTGGGATGTTCCCATAGCTTTCAGAAGCATCTACTGTCCAGCAAACTGAATTAGAACTTGAGAGCCAAAAGACATTGCAAACTAATCCTAAGCATGTCAGTGTCAGCTTGTGCAGCCTTAGACTTCTCACACAAACTCTGTATTATCTTCTGCTAGCCAGTATTACATAATATTCCTGCTTCACAAGATGACAACTGGCACAATATTCTGCAAACTATTTTACAAGTTGGCTTGTCAAAAGTTACTGAAAAAAATTATATAGAATTATTTTTAAAATACTTCCCTACACTCTGTCTTTTTCTAAATGATGTGATATTTATTTATTCATCTTACCAAACAATCTTTACTTATGGATTCATAATGAGCCCTTTATTTTTCCTAAAAAGACACTGCTGTAGTTCAAGTGTAAATTCAGCCAAGACAGACACAGAGCTGTAAATCTCCTTTTCTGATAGGTAGCTGAGATTCAGAATGAATACCCTGGACTTATCACAGATGTCTGACACTACAGGCAGGAGACTATCTTGAGTGCTCTAAACAGCATGTTATGAAAATAAAATTAAAAAGCCCAAAACCAAAGCAACAAAAAAAAACCCCACCCCACACAAACAATCCTCCTGCCCCAAAACCAAACAAAATAACAAAACAAACATCTTCCTCCCAAATCTATTACTTGTAAGGAAACTGCAACCTCAGAGCAGGAGCTCTTATAAAGTAACTTTAGGAATCAAAGTAGATTTAGGGTTTTTCTGAGAAGCCATTCTGAGACAGCTACTACACGTATGATAATCAACATCCCAGCATAGCAGATGCAAATAACTGTGAAACAGTTGATGATATTTTGACTTATTTAAAGCTTACAGATCTTTCAGAAAGTTGCACTTCCTTTAAAAAAAGTTTACTTACTAGCAAGCCCATATTTGAAAACTGTTTGGATAAAGGGTTCATCCATGAATCACTATTTCCTCCTTTTAATGCGCACTGAAAAAAAAAAGGAGAAAAATATTTTTAAGAAACTTCTTGATTCCTTAAATTCTTCTTTATCTTTGAGATGTGCCTATTTAAAATGGAAATTTGGTACCAGATAAATTAATCTCCTGAAAAAACAACTCTAAGTATTTCCATGTTTGGAAACATTTACCAAACACTGTGTCTTGTACAATTGCTTACTGTTAGGTATTCCAAACTGGTTGAACATTGTTATGTATAATGTTTATCACACCTTCAGTTTCATTCTGCAATCTGGAAAGCTTTGTGAACATTGTTTATTTTTTCTTCTGTTACAGTTTAATACATTGTTTAATCCAGTGCATTCAGAGGCAGATTTCTCTCTTTCTTCCCTTTAGCATGGTGTCTCTTGCACAGACACTGTGCTGAACAGGGTCTCTCTTTGGCCTTAGTGTAATTTAGAGATCACCAACACCAATATTAACACAGTTCAACATTGAAAAGTTTCCAGTTGTTTTGGTGGTTCACATAAAAAAAGCTTTAAGTGAGAAAAATGTCCCTGAGAAAAATTTCTGCAAAACATAAAATGTGAAACTCCCTAACATATCACAGTAGTATTTCTATGTCTGAAGAAACTGCTCTGCCTTGCCTTTTGAGTCTGCTGTACCTACTACATGAGAAGCAGACACAGCACAGTCCTTCTAATATTAATACAATAACAAGTGTTACTGTACTGAAGAATGTCAATGCAAACAAACCTTAAAAAGAAATTTACTCAGGACTACAGCCAAGCTCCTGCTCCTGTTTGAGGCCAAATGTCAACAACAACAAACATAAGTCAGACATAATCCAACAGTTGTTAGAAATAAGAAGCTCATGTGCCAAAGGGACTGTGGAACACAAACTTCAGCAGGGTATGCAAGAACAGCAGCAGCAGCCTAACAAAGATGTGTCAGCAAAGAGAAGAGAAATAGCCTTGGGATACTTATTTTCATTTAGTAATGGCTGTGCAGCTTACAAACCAAAAGAATCTGACACCTACTGGAAGATTTATTAGTCATAACAGGTGTGATATATTAAAGCAAATCCAAAAACCTCCCATTTTTTTACACTACTTTAAGAGGCACCTTGCTGTAACTCCAAAAAATCATAAAAAAAAAAAAACACAAAACGCTAAAACATAACACACACACTAGTAACACACAACACAGTAGTAATGAACCATTCAAGCTTTTTACCTTCATTTGTGTTTTCTTTCCTCCTTGTCCCCAGCTTGTTGAGTTGTGGGAGGAACTGCTTCCCTGAGAGCCTGCTGTGTTCCAGACTCCTCCCTCCTCCTCCTCTTCCCAGCTGGAATGACGTGTTCCTGTTACTGGCCCATCACTCTCTCCCCAGCCATCTTGCATAGATTTAGAACCTTTAGAAAAAAAAAAAAAAAAAAAAAAAAAGCTCAAAAGCAGTCTACAATACCATGCAGCTGGCGACATGACACTGCAACATTGGCTGAGATCATCAGAATCGCAAAGGAACTAAAAAAAAAAATTCAAAAACGTGTCTTCACTTTAACAGCTGTAAAAACTTGTGCACGAATTCCAAAACCCAAGAGATTTGGTGGCATGTTCACATGTCATGTTGTGCAACTATTTTAAATAAATGTCAAACCTTTAAAGATATAATAGCAATAGGGACCTCTTATACAGTACAGCTGCATTTAAAAGCCAACCTACTATTTTTGAATACAAATGAAAGCCTTCAAAGCACACATAAAAAACCAGAGATGCTGAAGACTCTGGTTCAGGTGGTTTATCAATTATTTCCTCTCTCACTTCAAAACCTTAATACTCCCCTTGCCCTACACTCTTCCACAAAATTCCAGAAACAACTTTTAGGAATAACAACTAAGTAGACTCTGAAAGCAAGGACCTGACATTGTCCTCTGGTACAAACAATACCAAAAGTAGTTTAATGCAAAAAACAAACAAACAAAAAAAACACCCCAAAAAACACCACAACCAAACAAAACCACAAAAACAAAACAAAAACCCCCAAAAACCCAACAACAACAACAAAAAACCAAAACCCAAAAAACAAACAAACAAAAAAAACAACACCACAAAAAAACCCAACCAAAAAAAAACCCCAAATAACCCAAAACATTCTCTACTACAAATTCTTTTCCTAACAATATTACTAAAGAGACTTATTACTAGCAGAGCTGTTTAAGTACATCAATAAGCTACCACCTCTTTACTGTATCAGTTCAGACTTTTCCCTGTGGGCTTCTTTTCTTGCTGTTACTCTCTAGCATGTCATGCAACTTGGAATTCTAACCTTTACTGACATGCCATCAAGAGCCTAAATCTTCATCCTATCCACTCTCCAGCTGTTCTTCCTGCTCCAACTCTTCATTCTGCACATTTATTCTCATATTTGTCTATTTAGTATTTACCTACTGTAAAAAAGATTTCCACTATCATCATTATATCCTTTGTAATAATTAATCCTTTATTTGTCTTGGGTTTGAGTATGGAAATCAGGAATAAGGATATTAGCATACATAGCAGAAAGTCTGTATATTAAAAAAGTCAGGAATTGCAATTGGTCTACCATGGGGATCTCTACCTTGACTATAATGAAAATAAGTACATCAGCATTTTATGGCAGTTTAAGAGATACCTTAAAATGCATCATAAATAAACACTCAGATACTTCAGAGGAAACAGCTTTTTAAAGTCTGTTCAACTGGGTATTAAAATTCAGGGCTGCTTATGAAACATACTGGTCCAAGTGCAAAAAGTCTACCTCTTGGCCCTTTAATCATGCTACTTACACAGAAAAGGCTACATTAAACTATTATGACTGAAGAGTCAAGAACACAATCTGGAAATTATATACTGGGTAGTCCCTGCAGCTTTCATTTATTTCTAGTTACAGTGCTTAAATATATACTATGCTACTACATGACCAGAGATTATTTTTCTGCACTGACAGCCCTTTAGGACTCTTGAATATGAATCTGGACAGTGATGTAAAGATGACTTGTTTGTATGACACCAGCTTAATTTTTTGCATTTGTTGAGGAAGGAGATACCAAGAGCTACAGAACACAAATGAAGTTTTCAGGATAAAAAAAATAAGTGTTACAGAAAACTGAGTTTGTTCCTATTTCCTCTAGAATATTCTTATGCAATGCTGCCAGAACTACGTAAATGTACCTTTTTAAACAGGTGGATACTGATCTGTGCTTCCTTTTTTGGCTCCAAACTGATTTTTTCCCTTTTCTGATCACAGCTAGTCTGTATCCTGTCTCTAGATTTTGCTCTAGATCTGAGGACAGCTCACATACAGAACAGTGCATGTAGGTTGCTGTTCTTTGGTTATGGCACACATACAGACCAGTCATGGTAAGCGAGTGACCATGTATAGTCTTTAAAGACTCTGTTAAACATTAACCAATCAAGAGAATTTTCAATGGATAAGTTTCAGAAGTTCTTATTTTGGTCATACTTAGGTATCTTTTTATAGATAAAAGAAGATAGCCATCTAAAATCAGCTTAGCATCCTCAAAATGCCAAGTCTGTGGGGCAGGCATGGGAAGCCTGACATCCATGAAAGCCTCCTGTAACAACAACACTAAGGAAGCAAAGCTTTTTTGTTTCAGAAATGGCCAAATTATTTAATTGGGATGGGAGGAAGGGAGAATGACCCAACAGCAAACTATCTACACAGCACTTCATTTCAAACAATTACATGTTGCAAAAGCAACTTCTGGGCTGGAAACAATTTTACAGTGGGCATCAATCAAGTCAAGTTCAGCAATGCTTGTGCATCATCAGTAGTTCCTACAGGAAACTTCACATCCAAATATTACTGATTCTGGCAATAACATTGCTTTTATTTGTTGTTTTTTCCTTAAAAAGAGTGAAATAAAAATTATGCAAACAAATTATATCATCAAGAATAATACCCACAAAAACTCTTAACAGAGCAAAATTTTAACTTTGAAGTAATTTTTTAAAATATTTAAACATCTCATTCATGAAAGACACTGCAGAAGACATTTAGTGTCTACTACAAAGTGCAGTTCTTAAGAGTGACAGTATTTCTCACTTATACAATTTTAAAAAATCCATTCAAAGACAAGCTGCATTACCAAAGCACAGATAATGATATAATGGCCTCCACAGTGAAATTTGTCAGTACTGTGCATGCCTTTTCCTTATATGATCAGAAAAGGTGACTTATCATGTAACAAGTAGGCAGCCAGAGAAAAAGAGAAAAATATGTATTTCCTGAATTTCCAGAATCAGAGCTGCTCATTTAATTGCTTAGATAGGAAATTTTTTACTACCTTAAAAGACAAAGTCTCAGTCATTTACAAACACTTAATGCTCATTCACCAAAATCCTATAAAAACATTCAACACTGCTTTTAGGTCTCCAATAACAATTCCTCCACAGGTGACCTATGTCAAAAGGTCAAACACAAAAATCTCCAAGGCAATTACAAAGAAACTGGTATCTGGCCTATACTCACTAGATTTCATGGCATTCGGGGCGTTGGAAGGTGCATTACCCCAGCCTGTAGTCGATGCTCCTGTATCATCTACTTCACCCCACCCGGGACTGGTTTCATTTGGCTCACCCCAGGCGGACGTACCATTATCTGGAGCAGGTGGAGTGCTTTTGCTCCAGACTGCACAAAGGAGAAAGAGGTTTCATTACAGACCATTTAGGCAATGCAATGTTTACCGCAGCGCAGCACCGCGTCATTAATTTACTGCTTCGTTCTTCTTGTTGAGAACTTGAGGTTCTCAGCAGTGTGGGTGCAACAGAATTGACAATCATTCACAACTAATTTAGAGTGGGCACTGACCTCCAGGGATGAAAAGGAAGAGAATGCTATGATGAGTAATACTCTTTTCCCAGATTAAACATGAACCCCACATACAATACCGTCCTCCTGTCTGCAAACTTCTATGACTAATTACAAGCATCTAACTTAAGGTTTTATATACTGAATATAGGACATATTAAATCAAGATAGAATTCTTTAAAGTGTCTTTGAGTCAGAGGAAAAGATTACATAATACATTTCCAGGCTATGTCACTTTTTCTTGTCCTTATTCCAAAGAAGAAAATATTTCTCCAAGTATTATCATACAGCAAAGCAAACTTGAGTAAAAAAACTGTCACAGATGTACTAAATCTCAAGTGTTAACTGAGTGTTTCAGAGCAAAATGTTTTTGACTAAAGGTAAGTAAAGATTTTCTCCCCATTTCTCTAATAATTAAATATTAAAAATGCTGTTTAGTCCAGAAAAAGGGAAGCTCAGGAGAAACCTTACTGCTCTCTACAAATACATGAAAGCAGGCTGTAGCCACGCTGGGGGGAGTCTCTTTTCCCAAGTAATAAGAAATGAGACAAGAGGAAATGGCCTGAAGTTGCACCAGGGCAGGTTGCAAATGGATATTAGGAAAAACTTTTCACCAAAACCATTGTCCAATACTGGAACAGGCTGCCCAGGGAAGTGGTTGAGTCACCATGTCTGGAGGTATTTATAAGACCTGCAGATTTTGCACTGAAGGAACATGGTTTAGTCATGGACTGAGCAGTGTTTGGCATATTAAGTTAATGGCTGGACTCAGTCTTAAAGATTTTTGATTCTGAAATTCAACCTCTTCTTCAGAGCTCAAATTAAATATGCATATTTGTCAGCTAACAAACATTTCTTTTCCTGGCAAGATGACCAGTATTCAGATCACAGTTATTGGAGCATAACAAGCAGAAGACTAATCAATTAAAATTTTAAAGACACTTTAAATACAGAATCAAATATTCAAGTAAGTATTTGGTTTTCTTTATAGAATAAAACAATTGAGAATTGGTGGCTACAAGCATCTCTCTTATGCATTAAGGTTACAATCAAATATAGGAGCTTGCTGAAGAAAGGAACAAGACTAGTACCTGATGCTTGTGATTTGCTAGTCATCGGAGTAGGCAGGCTCTGCTCCCGTGGGGCCTGTCCTCCTTGAGAGTTCTTGTCCCACAGATTCACATTCTTGTAGTTATAACTGCTAGGATCTCCCCATGCTGAAGTGCCATCATCAATATCCATTTTTCGACTGATTGACTGTGGAGAAGGTTCTTCCCAGCCACTAGGCTCCTCCTCTTTGGGGGCAGCTGGCTGTGGTCCATTGTTCCAGTTTGGGTTTGGAGGCCGCCCATTACTTGGAGTTTGGGGCGGTGGACCCCAGGAACCAGAAGACTCCTGCTGTTGCTGCTGGTGCTGTTGCTGCTGCTTGTTCCAGGAGTTGGGCTGTCGACCCGTCTCATTCCATGTTGAAGTTCTTTTACAATCATCCCATCCACCCTTTGAAGCAGAGCTTGTATTTGCACCGTTACCCCAAGTTCCAATCTCATTCTGCCCACCTTCACCCCAACCAGACACTGGCTTGTTTCCTGCACTTTCCCAGTTACTGTTTTTTGTTTGGTCAACTTCCTCTCCCCAACCGTTCTTTCCAGAAGACCATCCTTGATTATTTTGCCGTCCACCCCACCCCTGATCCTTACTAGAGCTGTCATTCCAAGAGGAAGATGATTTTTCTTCTTGCCTTCCTCCTCCCCAGTTAGAAGAATTGGAGTTCTTATAGTCATTCCATCCTCCAGTATTTTTGGGGTCCTTCCACTCCGTTGGGGTTGAGAGCTCACCCCATCCAGACTTGTTTTGATTGCTTTGGCTGGATACATCGCCCCAGCCCCCTGAGTTCTTTGTCTGTGTGGCAGAGCTCTCCCACCCCTCAGTTCCTTTATCAGACTTCCCCTCGGGTCGTGGCATCTCTTCAATATCCCACACGGTATCTTGCTTAATTTGAGTCTGGCCCCAGCCGGTGTTTGAAAGCACTCGGGGGTCCAAGTCAGTCCTGCTCAGCAAAGTCTGCAGGACTGCCTGGCAATCAGGATGCGTAGGCCTGTATGATCGGCGTCCAGAATTGTGACTGTCACTACTTCCTGCTTTGTGGTTGCTTCCAGTGCTTTGACCTCCAACCTCACTTCCCGCAGAGCTGGAAGATCTTCCCCAACAGGGAGCCTGGGAATTGCCTTGGTTTTCAGGAAGAGGGTGGCCTTTTTGATTGTCCCATGCTCCAGTGCTAGAATTTGGTTGGTTTGGACCACTCCACTCTCCAATCTTCAGTTCATCAGACCCAGACAGCTGTTTCCATTCTCCCTGAGAGACCCCAGATGTTAATTTGTTCCCTTCACCCCATTTGCTTTCATTTGCATGCTGAGGGCCAAAGTTCCAAGACCCACCACCCGTAGACCGGTTATTGTTATCCCAGGAATCACTTCTTGACCCATTAGATTTTTGAAGAGAAACTCCTTTCCAGGAGTCCTCTCTATCCTTTCCATTGTTCCCATGGTTTCCAGAATTGCTCTGCCCAGAGACTGTTTCAGTTCCAGAAGACCCCCTAGCTGTACCCCAAGATCCAACACTCCCAGTCTTTCTTTCTCCAGTGCTTTGAGAAGGGGTGTCAGTGCTCCTGGAAGGGTTCCCCAAGCCCATTTCAAAGGGCATTCCCTTATTCTCCGTAGGGTTTGGTGAACTTAAGTTCAAGGAGTTAGTGTTTCCATTTTTTGGTCCATCAGTGTTATGAATTTGAGCCTGTTCTCTGCCAGAGACAAAGTTAACACCCGCATTTTCCATCTTTGACTGCTGTTCCCTAGAGGTCTGACCTACTGTGCTAATCTGTGCATTGGAGCTACCACTATCAGATTCCGGAGTTCCTTTCCTAGAATTGCCCTCTTGAACCAGTGCTGGCCAAGCAGATGGGTTGCTATTTGGGTTAAAGTTGCTGAAACCAGAACCGGGACTGATTCTGTCTTGTCCACTCAAGTTCCTCCAATTACCTAGTCCATTGTTATTCTCGGCAGCAGGATTGGAAGATTGAACAGATTTAGCCTTGGGATCAGATTTCCAGGCCCCAAGATTACATTCGTTTCCAGCGCTTCCAGACTGGCACTGGCTTCCTTTTCCTTTGTTACTAGTGGTGCTTCCTGGCAGAGCGTTCTTCTCCAAGCCAGGGTTCGAGGCACTGTTGTTATCGGTGGTGTTTTCGGAAGAAGACTCAGCATCTTTGCTGGCAATACAAGGCCACTCTTCCATGTCAGACCCGTCTACAATCACCTTGTCCCAGATGTGAGTTGGGTTGGCGTTGGTGCCGCTGTTGGAGGAGGCTCCAGGACCCCAAGTGGAATTTGCATAATTTGAAGCAGCAGCACCTCCAATTGCTGAATCTAAAAGAAAACAAAAAACCCAAAAACAATACACCCAAAAAGGTCATTAATAATCCATATTATGTACAAGCATAGAACATCAGATTTTTGACATCAGTTATTCCACTTATTTTGCAGAGCATCAACTCCATAGTAACAGCTGCAGCAGCATTCCTAAGTAAATATATACTGTTACTCCCAGTACTAGCTCATATGACAGCTTCCATGAAAATAAGGCAAACAGCTTAAAAAACTGGGTAACTCCCCTCCCAGACTGAATGCTATATATTCCAAAGTAAAGATCACAATTTCTGGTTGCTAATACTTTCAATAGAGGATAAGATCAGCTTCCAGTGCCTGTCTGAGGCTTCCAGTTCATTAGCTTAAACAATGAACATCCAATGAATGCCTTCCGGATTCCCCTTCACTGAGCGCCACCAATGAGGATCCAGACCTTACAGCAGTGGTTAAAACTCCCTTGTAAGCTTTGAATATTGATGAACAGTAATTTGTCTTCAACCACTAAGCCCCACCCACCAAGACCCAAAAGATCAAGCAGTTCCCAAGTACATTATGTTCCTTCTGTTGCTTTAACCTCAAATGCAAACTGAACAATAGCAAGGAAGTATGACTCCACTGATATTTTTATCCATCTATCTTTTTAGCACAGAGTCACCCTTTTTTTTTTCCTTCCAATTAAAAAACTTTGATTACACAGATCACAGGAAGAACTTAAAGAGGACAAAGACAAGCTCAAAAGACTGCAAGGTTGCAAGGTTTTGAAATTAGAAATGGGTCAGTCAACGAATGGTTCAGCCATAGGCAGCTCTGAACTTAGCAAGATCTTCAAATCAGTGACCTTAACAGAACATTTAATATCTCTGAAGACGTTCTAAAAGTATTAAGACTGGGTGGGCTGCTTGCTCACATATCGCATGCTAGGACACAATTTAATGGATTGCTTTATGAAACCAGCCTTCCCTTGCTGTTTCTGACAATGGCAATAATCATAACTATTGAAAGACTTTCACCAATAAAATTTACACCTTTTTATCCAAAACTGTCTTGTATGTCCTGAATTGTCATTAGTATTGGAAGAATTACATAGAACACCCATCATCTCCCCATCAATACCTCTGCATTGGTATGAAACAATAGTATACTTGGTGTCATCTTTCAGGACACTAGTTTTGCTAGAAGGATTTCAATCCTGGTAGAAAAAGGTCAATGTGAAGAAGGATTATGTGTTGACTTTTAATATTAAATCCTCACCAACACCACCTATGATCATCTGGTGAATATAAGAATGTGAGCAAGTAGGGAGGCTGCATGATCTTCCCCAGTGGGAAACCTGCTTTTGTTTTCTTTCATGTGGCATGAATTTAACCACAGTATCAGTGCAAACTGGGCCAAAACTAAAGTTCTGTTTGTCAACAGCCAGATGTGAGGTGGGATAAACTATGTACGAGGCAGATAACACTACGCTTTCAAAAGCACTTTGATGGAGCACCTGAGACAGTCCCAGTGTCTCTCTTGTTCACCTGCTCATTCCCACTCCTCTGGCACACCTACACTCTCACATGCTAGCATCTATTTTCTCACTGATATTCAGCTGGGTCAATGGGTAAAAGCCAACTGAAATCAGCTTTAAAAACCAACCTGATTTAATTTTAATACGCGTCAGATCCCCAGCCCAATTAACTTGTTGTGGTGCAGAAAAATGGATAGGCTGAGGCAGGTCTCAAGGACCCATATCTTTCCTGGCACTCCTGGATTTACATCATGATAATGCAATTAACCACTGGCTAACACAGCCATGTAACTTTTTAATTGTTAATGCACCATTATATGAAGTGTAGAAATGAGAATGCATAATACCAAATTTCAACCTCAGAAAAACAAATATTAAGTATCAAATAAATACATACAATTTAAGGAGCCTTTCAAAATACTTCAAAATGGTCCTCATATAGTACGTCCAACAGCAAAAAAATGTTGCTCATGAGAAGTTTTGAAAACTTTTAGAATGCTTCACTAACACAAATTTTCCTTAGTCAGTCTACTACAGTAACTGTGAAGGCATACGAGTACCACTAACGATTTTATATAGGAACCATAGACTTCAGTGCATGCTTTGTTTCAGGTATTTTATCAAAATAAGTTATCTCCAAACATCTGTTTTTGCCATTGTAGTTTGACATTCACCTTCTTTATTACACAGCTATTATCAAAGACAAGATACTCTGTGTCAAACAGGAATTTGCTACAAATGAATTCAAGTACTGAAGCCACAAAACAAATGGAATCATTAATTTTCCTAGAATCCTATTTAATAAGGGCAGACATCCCATTTAGCTCACTTCATTCTATACAAGTCACTTTTGTTTTTAATTCCAAACTATAGAGACCTAAAAAAATTTTGATTTCCACGATGGTAAAAAAATCATAATCCCATTGATGATTTCCAAAGAAAACTCAGACATACTCGTATTGTTATTTTCTTCTTCTTGAATTTCAAGTATTTAATATTTTAACATTGCTAGCATTAAATTTAATGTTTTAACATTAACTTATTGTTAAAATTGAAGCTGTCCTTTACAGGTGACAGGTGACCTAAGTCTTTCTTTAGAGGGCAGATATTTTGAGCGGAATTTTGTTTGTTTTACTATTATAATTAAAGAAGAAATATTACAGCTACTGCAATTCACCAAGGGTCAAAAAAATTCAGGAGCAGCTATAACTTCCCCATGCTCACCAAACAACCCTAAAATCAGTTTATCTTCTGGAATGCAAAATGAATGGAAAAGTAAGAACAGTCACCACTTGTACAAAAAGGCTTATCTAAGTACAAAAAGTAAGATTACTATCAAAAAAACAGAAGTGAAGAACAATAGGTCGTCCTTCTGTTTCATCCAGAGAAGACGTGACAGACACCTGCCCTTTGCAGACCTGGCATCTACATGTCTGTTTTACGAGATGATACAAAAATGTGACAAGACAGGAAATTCATGTCAAAGAAACCTGAGGAGCCATTAAGAGCTAGTCAGAGACAACCATAAAATGCTATTTATTTACACTTTGTGTTTACCTTGCTGCAGAACATTTCAGCAACCAATTAAAACCATTCAAAATATACTTGAAAAAAATTAAACCTCTCATTCATCTAGTAGTAAAAATGCTATTCAGTACTGCCAACAGAAGCCTGGACACTGGACACTGGCTCCCAAAAGCAACCTGAGTTTTTTTATATAATTGCAGGCTTACAATTTCAGGCATCTCTTTTCTGCCATGCGCTAACACCTTCCTTTAATATTATTTAGTATCATCACTTGCCTGTTGCAGTCCCACTGTCGCTCTGCAGCAGTGCTCCTGTCACTGGTTGTGCGTTGTTGGGGTTTGCTCCTGGTGCTGCTGGGGAGGGAGGCCCTGCTCCACCCCCAAGGAGCATGCAGGATGGCGGAGGGGGCTGCCCACGTTTCAGTAACACTTTGTGGTCCTGCTGGCAACGGAATCGCGGCGGCACCTCCCGAGGCATGTAGCGGGCGGCGCTTGGCGGTTGTCCGTTCGGCACTGCCACCCTTTTGGCATTGTTGCCACCATTGACTGGTGGCGATGGAGAGTTGCCAATTGGGCTGGCAGCCACTGGTTGGCTTAAACTTGGTTTCGTCACTTCGGGCACTGAAAAACAGGAAGGATGAAAATCAGAAGTTTTTCCACTTAAACCTGTGCTAGCTACAAGAACTCATTGTGACTCTTTGCTTTCATTATTTTATCTCTGAAATACTGTGCAGCTTCTATCTTCTCAACAACCAAAAACAATTTAAAGAAGCAGGAAAAAACAATAGCAGCAGACCTTTTGCTTCCATGTGCAACTCTGTCGTCTACGATGAAACACCACATTCATCAATTTTGCTCTAAGTCCAAAATTTCTTGCATATGTAAAGCTGGCAAAGAATATACCCTAGACAGTGACTAATTTTAAAATATTAGTCAAATATAATTTGCTCCACCTTCCTGATCTTCAACTGTTTTCTGGATTGTTATACATCATCATCTTTATGGGAAATGTGAAATCAGAACCCAAGTTTCCACGTGTTCTAAGCTACACAGCCACTGCCTAAACAAACAAAAAGATGGGAAATAACCTGCCTCCTTTTGCATTCAGAGGTAACAAATCTGAGTTGTCTGTGCTGCTCTTCAGCAAGGCAGTAATAGCTGACTCCCACCCAAAAGACAGTCCTACACAAAGCAACTGTATTTGGCTCACTTAAGGTTGCCCTGCTGGTCACCAGGTGGCCCTAAAAGGAAAAACAAGCTGCTCCTGAGGACTATTATGTACTGGAGAAGAATCCTTGAGAAGCTGACACCATCACAAAATTTGCTTAAGAGACTCTAGACAAACTAAACACAATTAGTAAAACTTTTACTCTTACAAATGTGAGATCAACACAAATGGGTCTCTCTTTGGTAACATAAATGCATTATTCTCCACATTTTATTTTTAAAAGGGTTTTCCAATATCTCTAGATAGGCTTCATTGCCCAAACTCCAAAAAGTTCTTGTTAGCCATAAAATCAAGTTACTATTTTAGTGCTTTTCTTTCACTTTTCTTTCACAATTTCCCCACATAATTTATCAAAAACTGATACACAAAGCAAGATTAAATATATTTTTACAACAGCTAAATTATTTAGTCCAACTTTCAGATGCTCACTCATCAGTCCTATCTTTTCTACTGGACTCTTCTGTGCCTGAATTTAAGTTTCCAAACCCAAGTAGTTTTCATTTATTTTGGTACCTCACTATAAGCAGTATTTTTGCTGTCTTTCATTCCCTTCATAAAGGTGGTGTCAGTCTTGGTTATTTGTCTAAAACCGTTGTAAAACAGAGAACAGAGTATTTCAGCTAACCTATCTCATCTACAATCCTCATTCTTCCTTGAAGTATTTCAATGCTAACAACACATCTGCAGAATAGTTGTAGCTTCTCTGTTTTAATCACCTCAACTTATTTCTTCTGAATACTCATATTCAGTGTTTCGTCTTTACTCATATGTCCCCATCCTTTTGTAACGGTTTTGGTAAAGATCTGAATCTTGGCTCAAGTCAATTAAAGTACTCCTTAGTATCAAAGATTCTTACCTTTGGTTTTTTGATCTGTGACCTGCAAATTAAGAGCAAGAATGTAAATACAGTTTTAAGCAGTGCAAAACAAACATTGAACATATTGTGCTAAATCACAGCCTTAATATATTGGCAAAAGAACAGAATTTGTTGTTGAATAAAAACAACCAACTGATGAACTACAAGTCTAAATAGTACTCTTAGTTACATATACACATATATATCAAAGGTTTTCAAAAGCATTACAACTGCTGCAGTAACTCTGCCTGATGCAAAAGTCCCTGGCAGAAACAATCATACTTCACTTGTGAATCCTCCTCCTCATCCCAACCATGGGCTTCCAAAGCACAAATAAACATGTACTGTAGTATTACAGTTCTCTCAGATTTTGGAGATGAAGTATTTCACTTAAAGTGTAACAAAGCCTTCCTTCTGTTGAGGGTATCCTTACAGTAGACTGCTGGGGCCTGAAGTAACCACAGCAGTCTGTCTCTCTGCCTTCTTCTCATTTCACCTTTCCCAGAACATCTCTTCCAAGGAGAAGTAATTCTAAACCTTACTGGATTCATTTCCACACTTACAAAGAGGACCAGCAACAACTATAAGTAAATCTACTGAAAGCAGCAAGAAGTCAATGACTGAAATGAGCATTCATGCTGGGCAAAATACTCAATATGGGTTGGTATTTGTATCTGTATCCTACATTGTTTCAGCATAGCAGATTTCAATCTACAGTAGTGACAAACACATCATTAGTATATTCTCTGGAATAGTGTGCATTGTAGCATTTTTTTAACCTGTCCATCAAGAGTTCCACTACACAATAATGAAAAAAAACCTAAAGATCATCATGTGTCAGGTTCTATGACACCTATTCTTAAAAGAAATTGCTGAACTAGTCCATATTTCTGGAAAGCACACAGCAACAGTATAGAATAATGAAAGCACAAGTAAAAAGCAGCTTATTGTTGAAACTAACCAAACCAAAACTCCTTTGTACGGTAAATAAGAAGACAAACTGCACTAAATTGCTATGGCATTGTTTACTTTGGAAAGACGAAAACCGCAATTCACTAAGATATAAAATTTTAAGCATTGTAACCTCACAGACATACAGTATCCCAAAGCCTCAAGGACAATAAAAACATATTCGTACCAAAACCATGTCTGTACCAAGCCACACATCAATTTTCAAATTCACTTATGAAAAGTCCTGTATGGATCAAATCACATCATCTTCTGCAACAGTTAAAAATTCTGTTACACACTTAATTGACCCTGATGCTTGGCTACTAAAGGAAAAGGGGAAAAAATATTAATTAACACAATCTGGTATTGCTGATAAGTTTACTATAGACAACAGTAGACACATTTGACTTGGGTAAAAAACATTTTACTGAATCCTTGAAAAATTCTACATGATGAACACAAATTACTTTAAACAAAAAAAGCCAAAAAACCTTCTGCCTATCATGTCTCTCTCCCATAGTCAAAATGATCTGGTTTTGTGATTGCTTTCATCTAAAACTCAAAAGTTGAAAAAAATGTGACAATATCTCATATTTACAGCTGTCATCTCTCTGTGGGCAGCCTGTGAGCATCAGCAGGGCAGAAGCAGCTACAGTGAATGGGTAGCTGGAATAAATCTCAGCCGACTGATAAGCTATCAAATAGCTCCCTGGACACCAACTACTGGTATATTTAAGCTGTGAACTTGCTTGTGTAACTTTCCTTAAAGTGATTTTTCTTTAAATTTTATTTTTTAAGTTTCAGACAATCCAGACAGAACAGTTATTTCATGTTAAACAAACCTAGTTTGAAAATGGTACCCTGAAATCACTGCTGCTTATTTAGTGAACACCTCCACAGTCAGTAAGAATCAACACACACATTTATGTTTTGTCCATTTGGCTGCCTACTTTGCTATTCTTAGCTATCTCTAGCTATTACTGTCAAGTTTGCCTTCCAGGAGATTAAATTACTTAGTCTTTACCCTTCCTGAGAGTGTGGCAAAATATGTACTGAACAACTTACTAGGTGACAGACCACACAGGAAAGCTGGCAAATCTCTTTTGTATTCAAAGCATCAATTCCTCAGTAAACACAGCACTGTTATCAAGATGATCAGTACAGCCTTTTCAAGTTTCCCTTTTATCAGTGAGTATCAGCACATAATCCTCAAGTCGCTACTCTTTATTCATAAGGGTCTGCTCTTTCTGGTTTCTACATACCTTTTCTGAACTTGAACATTAAACAGCACTAACACTGTGGCAAAAAGACACTGGAGAGACCTTATCTGTAGCAACTGCTCTTTTGCACTGTTATTTGGGGATATATCAACTGGATGAAGACAACTGATACACATTTATCTGCACCCAGTTTAAACAGATAGACTCAAATTGGTGAAAAAGCCAGATTAAAAAAGACCCTGGATAAGCCAAGATTTAACTGAAGTCTGTGCTGTCTGTTCTCAGCAGAAACTCACAGAATATAAGAGTGAACACTGTGATCTTCCATCACCTGATCTGTTACTGAAGCAACTGAAAAACAGAGTACTGAATGAAAAGCGTTTTGCTCTCAGTTTCACATAATCATTGACGTTGGAAGGAACAGCCTCTGGAAATTTAATCCACGGTTCCACCCCTATCCTCCACCTGGCCCCAAGAGACTTCTCAATTTGAAACAAAATCATCAAAACTGGATTGCACATGACCACGTAAAACTCAGTTTTGAGTATCTAAAGACAGAGGCACCACAACCCCTCTGGGAAACCTGTTCCAGTGGTCGCCCAGCCACTTACATGGACAAAAAAGGAGTCTTCTTATGATTAGGCAGACTTTCGATATGTACATAATGCCTTGTGCTTTGCCACTGGGCACTGTGGAGAAGAGTGCCTCCGTCTTTTTACTCCCTTCCACAAAGTATAAATATGCATTGATGAGACCACAAGCCTCCTCTCCTCCATGAGGAACAGTCATAACACTCTCAGCCTCTCCTCATTTGTCAGATCCTCCAGTCTCTTATTCATTAAAGTCATTTTGCTGGACTTGTTCCAAGGTGGTCGCACCTATCCTATACTGAGAATTTACCAGTAAAAAGCATGGATAACACCCTAAGAGACTCAAGCTCGTATATCAGGTTGATTCGTAGAACAACCTGCCAGATGTTTGTTGCAAAATACCAACCTTCTAGTACGCCAAGTGTCAAACTCATTTTCTGACCTGAACCAATTTTTGGTGACTTACAAATTTTCCACAACTCAGACTTGAACTGGCAGACTTCAGCAAAAGTACTATTAGCTACAGAAAATGTAAAATGCAAGTAATACTTAGCAAAAAACGTAAACGGACTCTTTAGTAGTAAATATTTCGTATAAACTTCCTTAAGGATTTCGAAAAAAAAAAGCATCTTCCTACTCTAATAAATATTTATTCAGTTCTACTGCAAGAATTGCAAAAGCCCATCAGTATTTCAATCCACAAACACCTCCAACAAGCAGCAGCTGTGTAGAGCGAGATCTAAAGAAGCCATATTGAGTAACTTAAACACTCTGTATCAAAAAAAATCTTTATTTTACATAGTACTCTAAGGAGAAGAAATATCCAAGTTAAACACTTCAGCTCCAGCAAAATGATGCAAAAAAGTGTCAATAAAGAAGCACCAGGCTAAGCAATAAATTTTTAAGTCCAAATACAAACAATTTAACATCTTATTACCGCCAATACTGTTTGTTTCAGCTGGATAAAAGAATTCAAGTATCAAAACCCACCTTCTGAGCAGAGTCCTTCTTTTTCTTATCCTCTTTCTTCCTTTTCTTGTCTTCCATTAACTGTTCTTCCCTTTCTTGCTCCTTCTCTCTGCCAAAACATGAAAAACATTGGTCTGAGTACAGTCAAGTTGTATAAGAGCCACACATACTAGAAACCTCTTCCCTGCAAGGAAGACAGACAAGTTATCAGATTCCTCTTATCATACTTCATTTCTTTCTGAGGGTTTCCGTCGAACTGTGATAAGAAAAGCACCTTTTAGCTCAGTATGGCCACTATCATGCCATGTGCTGCATAAAGGAAAATTCCCTTTTTCACTTCATGTCTGTTATGGCAGTTCCCTATATAAATTAATCACATACCTGATTGTAAAAAAATATCTTCAAGACATTTTGGCCAAAGTACTCCTATAATTGGATCATGCTATTATTTAACGAAGAGCCTCATGAACCTTTTCATATGGTAAAAAAATAAAAAGGGAAGTTGTAATTTAATATAAGATAGTTTGGTCTGATACAACATTTATCTTCACAAGGGGAAGAGATTATTCTATTGCCTGTAGCTATGTCACTTGTAAGAGACTAGAAGTGTCATATCAAATCAAACCTATCATTTATTATACAAATCTCTAATTTAATTTCTAGGCTATTGTATCCACCCACAGAATTTTTGTGATGAAACTTGTAATACAAATTACTTTCCAGAGAATCTATTTTTTCCCACAAGAACATTCTTTCAAAAAAAGGAAAAAAAATATATACAGCTGCTATTGTTGTCAAGCCATCATCTTGTTGCTATGTTCTATATTAAATATGAAAGTACCATGGAATAGTTAATTTACTGCATACATACTATTGGCTGAGCTGTTTCTATGGTGAATCAATTTTTGTTAACCAGTTGTCTTCACCTCTTTAAAAAGAAATTTAAGGCCAAGTTTCCAGCTTACTTAATTTCTTTTTATAGGTAAAGATTAAGACAAAGATCATTAATGTAAAAAGATTATTTAGCAGATGAGAGTAGCAGAGACTCTACAAATGGGAACCAACTAACAACTATAATCCACAATCTTTAAGAAGAAAATTTTATAAAACCCAGAACAGTATTAAAAACAAAACCAGAGTTTATAATAGTACTGAACAATTTCTTGTATTTACACCTAAATCAAAGGACTTTTTTGACCACAGTTTTAAAAAGTTGAGTATGCTTTGCTGTCATGTTGTACAGACTTTTCTTTAAATTGCATCTATACAGTAAAAGAAATAACCTTCTTTTCATTTTCACTAAATACTCTGAAGCCAGAGTGTAAAGAGATATTTAGGCAACTGATTCCTACAAAAATATTTTGAGATGCTATGTATTAATAGCTTCCTGATTGAGAACTTCAAGGAGATTCTAAACTACAAAGGTCCTACAGAGAGTAATAAATGTCTTCCTGGTTTCCTGAAGCTGGTCTCCCCTGCTTCATGGATGGATAAAATTGATAAAGGCAAGATGAGTCCTTAGAAACAATATCCTGAAGTTACCACTAAGTGCAATTACTACACTTTTTTCAGTGAAGCACTGGGGAGCTTGGTGTACTTTGCATGGTTTATCATAGCATTGAGACAGACTTCTTTTCATTTTCTTTGAGCCATAGATTGTGAGGAGGATGAAAAATCCCTCCTGTGACACCCTCATCATTCAAAATTGCTATGACTTCAAATTGTTTACTACTTTTATATTGTCGAGCTGTGTATGCCTTTTGGGCTGCAGTTCAAGTTTTAACTACACAATTTCCAAACAACCTTCTTGCAGTAGGTAAATGTTTAAAAAGAAGTTTAAAAGAAGATGTCTCAAAAGAGCTGCTAAAAATGGTAGTATCAAATTATGAAATGACTTCCATTAACTGCTTGGCACACAGGCATCTTTCTACTTAAAAGCACTTTCCTTACTTTTGTGAGCAGATGAGAAGGGAATAGAAAAGAAAGAGAAAAGAACCACATTCACAATCACAGCTGAAACTATGGCTTATAGTGACATGCAGCCCTAAAAGGATTCCAGGACAAAAGATCCATAGCCTGAAAGTAATCACCTAGTTATGGTCTGCCTTTGTGATAAATTTTGGACATGGAGATTGCTATTGCTGCTGCCTTGTTTTTTGATCTATGTGGACTAAGGCTGCAGAGAAGCCCTTTTGTTTTGCATGACAACCTTCCCTTCTGTTCTTTTAGTAGAGATTTAATATTCTATTGGGTGTATCCTCAACAACCACAATACAGCAGCAACCAACACCTGGTTTACTTCATTTACCAAAACTTTATTTAGGCTTCAATTCATGTAAGCTCTACTAAGGTGGAAGGGACCTATCTGAACACTTGGGCTACATCACAGGTACGGGACCACAGAGCTTGTGACAAAGTGCTGGGTGAAACCTCACAAACATGTCAGAAGTACAAAGTTACATTTTCCAAATGGCAGAGTGTTATGTGTAGTAGATATAATTCATGCCATTTCTAATATGATATATGTGATATCGAATATTTGTTAAGAGTATACACGTTTGTATTAGGATTCCCCCCACCCTCGCAGGTTAGACCGGGTGTATATTGGAAACTGATTTACAAGTAAGAAGGCATGGCTCCCCAGGAGATGGGCCATGTCTGGAGAGATACAGGAACCCCAGGTGCTGATCAGTGCTGATCATTTAACCCGAGATGGATATCATGGAAATCCTCAGGCAAATACATGCGAATACAGCGTTCCCAAATTTCATCAAGGGATTCAACAAACTCTGGACACTGAATTGTTCTCCCTCATCACCAAAAAAAGAGAATCTTATTAACATGTGGACTCTGAATAAAAGAAAAGACTGACTGCTCAAATCTTGGCCTCAGGCGGAATTTTCCCTATAAAGATCGCTTGTGCCAAGATGGGGGTGTGTGGGCACAGAGGAAAACCTCTGCTGAGGCTGTCTCCTTGTTGCACACCCAGGGCCGACCCCGGGCTCAGCTCAGTTCTTTCCTTGGGGCTAGCTAGATAGAATTTAATTGCAAAATAAATATTTTATTTTTTTATATTAATTTGGCTGGACAAATTTTCATTTATAACACAGAGCAAGAATAGATGCTACAGACACACTAACGATGTACAACCACAGTGAAAGTTCACTGAACTAGAAGGGAAAGTAAGTTTCATTGTTATTCTGGGTATCACAAGTGCCGTCTTCCCAGTTCTACTGTTCCATGCATTTCACTAACATTTGTTTTATGATCAATGATTTTCCTCTTCAGCTGGATGCAAGATGCTTGTTGAATACAACTAGCAGTGTTAAATGCCCTGAGAAATTCAACATCAATCACCTCCTTGATTTATTCCAGAGATAATGCTGCCCATTAGCTTCTCATTAGCCAAAAGACAGTTCTTCCTGGCCTGTTGAAAACTCAGGGCTCCATCATGTGCTTTCCAGTAAACAGTAGCTCACACGGAGATCAACAAGGGGAGAAAACCCATCAACTGCAAGCAGAGTGAATTTAGAGTAATACAATGGGGTGTGGTTCCGGGCTTTGTTATGAGCACACTGTAATGGCAACACGGACACACCACAACCCTGAAGAGGAAGTCTGCTAAATAGCAATCAGCAGCCAGCTTTTTAATCTAGTTTTTTTTTTTTCAAGAAAGCATGTGGTGATCTAAAAATATGACCTAATTTTATTTGAAGATCTCCCACAAAATCTTAGAATCAACATTACTGGAACGCATTTAAAAAGCTTATTACAGATTTTAATTCCAAGTATTTAAAGTAAGGCAAATTAACAGCTTACAAATTATGAGAAATTATAAAATGTAATCCAAAACATTATCTTCATTCTAAAAAAACCCAACCCAAATAAACCCAGTACTTGTGATACATCACACCTTATCTATGTTCCTAAAACAACCTCTTCTGGCTAAGTCAAAAGAAATTATTTTAGAGAGCAGAATTTTTTTACACTAACTGCAGACATAACAGAAAACAGTTGTGAAGTCCATATTATTAAAACATCCAATTCAGGGAAAAAAAAAAAAAAAAAACCACCAAAACCAGACATTCAAGAAATGTTTTCTCCCTCAAAACAATCTACCTGTTTTGGAAATTGTTCACTTCCTGCAAAACTCTAATACTATTTTTTCCAGAAAATTCTATTTTAGAGAGTTGTTCTGACAACATTATGGGCTTAAGGCACAGGTAGAGGACAGAAGTTGCCTTCAAAGCTCTTGCTGTCATAAGCTGAACTGTGAGGCAAGATGACATGCAACATATTGCACACTATCTGCTGCCAACACACTTTGATAGGCAGAGATAAAGCGTCACACAGTATTAGTCTACACAAACCCCATAATCCTGTAAGGACACTCTCAAACTAAAACTGCACAAAAAAATGTAAGTGAAATGTAAGAAATGAAAAATTCTAGAATGACACATTAGTGCATGCAACTTCCAGTTCCTTTTCCAACAGCCCAGGACAATGGTGTGAGAGTTTGTAAGTTCCTCACAGGTGAAGATGTGCATTACCAGAACTGTGAGTTCTCTTCCCTCCTCCTGACCTCACACTTTACCTCATTTCAGAATAGTCAACTTGAGTTAGCTACACTACGACACAGAAGTGGCAGTAAACTTCTATAGGTGCACCCTGTTCTCTGTGTTGTTGATGAGCACAGGGCAATTTACAAACCTGCTTCCAAATTGTGAGCCAACTTGTGCATCCTCTTTCTGAACGCTGGGATTCTGAACTCCCACTTGCAGGACCAGAAGCACTTTTGTATCTATGTAGCTACCATGTTGCCTGAACGACTGCTAAATCTTCCCTCAAGATTTAGCATCAGTCACAACTAGCCAGGGCTAAAGGCCTTCACCATACACAGAGAACGATTTACATGCACAGAGCACTGTCACTTAGAAGTAAAACTTAAAAACTATTTCTTACAGATAATAACTTTATTAATAATATAGTAATAGTTATTAATAATATTATGTTATTAATAACTTAATAACTCTTTCTTACAGACAAGCCTCTAGTGATCCAAAATACCAAATACCTTTCAAATCTTTTGGAAACAGATGGGAAGACTCA